ATACCTACTTCTTGGACGGTTATAAAGCGCAATTTATTAAATCTTTAGGCTTTCGTACCAAGAAGGTAAAAATGGAAACCCTATCACTAAAACCACCGTTTCTCACCAGGCTGTATCTCATGAACCGTGATAGACAGTTGAAATTTGTACAAATATATTTCTGTTGCCACTACAACAACAAAGAATTAACTACATGGATTTAGTATTGTTAATAATTCAATCAAAATAACTAATCATGGTTTAAAACGCAAAGTTTTATTTTTATTTTCCTTCACATCACGTAGACTATAAAATATATCGCAACTGCAAAAATAAATTTACTGGTTACATTTATTCTCACAACAGTTTCCTGTAGGTGTAATGCGATAGGGCCTATTCTTGCGGTCTCGAGCGTACACTGGTACCGAACTGGCAAAAAGGCCTCGCCTTAGGCACGGATACCACATCACTAATAAGGCCGCGCTTAAAATCAGCCCGTATACCATGGTCACTTGGATATCATACTGGCATCATTGGTAAACCCTGGTCAAATTTGTTCATGGTCGACAGACCTTTTATGTAGTAGGAGGAGCCCAGTTTCCGAACTAGGTCTCCGTAATTTCCACTTGAATTCTTTTAAACTAGCTAGGCATTGCATTTAGATCTATTGTAGGTATTGTACTATTAAAAGTATTAACAATATAACATTGTAATCCCAAATTTTGTTCCAACTAACAAAGTTGTTACTGAGCTGAGAGTAGTTACTTTCTCTGACAATTACGTTACGTCACAAAGTGTCATATTATGGAAGGAGTACCGCAGAACGAACTGAGAAGAATAGCAAAATCGAGTTTCTCTATGCCCGGTTCCATTTACTTTAATTCCAGTAGTATTGCAGTCCAGCGATGAAATGCCACTGGAATAATGTAAGCCGACAATTAGTCCAGTCAATTTAAGATTTCCCTAGCAATTCTACCAAACAGCACCAATTAGCACGACATTTGGCTGTAGGATATAAATTCTACTTACTGGTAGTTTTCCAATTACAGAGCTTAATGTGACTCAGTGTCGCACAATGCTGAATTATGCTGATGCTTAATTGGAACGTGAATTAGTTTTGAAATGCACCAGCAGAGTGCGCTTAGTTCAGTGTTGAACAAAAAATATTCATAGAGTTAGCAATAACCTCATTAATGTGTAAATAAAGTGGTATAGGTACATAATAATTACAATGAAACGAAAGCTTTAAAAAAATCAACAAAAAATAATATTAGTAACGATAATATATAAACAAAACATTTTGGTCAATGCCAACATAAAGAAAAAACACTTGTTAATTTTCTGTCACTGAGTTGGTATCGATTGTACGCATCACACGAAAAAAATACTTTTGAGAGTGCTCGATCGTGCGAAGCGTTATTGTAGTTGAAACATTCAACGTTAAACATCATGCCGTATAATTCGCTATATTGCTGTAATTGGAAAACTACCACTTCAAAGTTGTCAATATGCCACGGATTGCTCTTATAGGGTGGACGCCAACCCTTCTCGGGGATGAATAATATTTTATTAAAAATAAGAATGGTTATGAAAAGACTGTCTAATTCAAAGCAACTACTTATAGGCAATACTTTTCAACTCTATCGAGCGTGGAAACGTCAATAATTTTTCAACAAGAAAAAACACGTTTTCAGACTAGGTTTTATGAATAACTCTGAAAATATTTTTTTATGAAAAAATCATTCGAAGTAAAATTGTATAAAAAACAAAAGAATGGGTTTAAAATATCACTGGACCTAATACTAACGGAGTATAACAATAGTTTGTTATAGGTAGGCTCTTCTTCGTCAAACGCCAAAAACTAAAGTTTCAACGTGAAAATATCCAAAAAAACAGTGCCTTTTTGGGGGAAAAACATATCTTATTTCGAAGTGCTTGAAAAAATCTTAATTTATTTGTAAAGAAAATTTTACTAGAAAAAATGCCATGCGGTCCAGGCAGCAGACGGGACTCGAACTCGCACCCTCTGCTATCCGGGCGGATGAAATGACCATTATGCTACCGCGCCAAAAAGAATCTTTAGATTTAAACATCTACGAGTAGCAGTTAAATGAAGTAATGATACTTTGATAATTCCTTTAATATTTTAAATTGATAAAACAGAATAGCGGATAAATGTACACAAACAAATACGGAAAATAATAACCAATAGGCAATATACACAGTCCCCTGTTGTGCGAAACAGTCCTCTGCTGCATTTGCAGACAGGGGACTGTGTATTTCGGTTAAATTTCAAAATGTTTGCAAAACCAAAGTAAAATAGTTTTTCAGAACGTGCTAATCAACTAAGACATAAATAATAAAACAATAAATTATATATTGAGTTAATTAAAGTAATTAAACATAAATATAACTGCTTACCACAGAACTGTGTAAGGTAGCGAGCCATACGCATATAACTGCACAACAATTGCGTTTTGTTTTACTCAAAAAAGTTAGGAAACATATATTTTTTTATTATGGCTTTAAATTTTTGCCAGGGGCTGTATGGAAATTCTGGGGACAAAGTTTACAGGACTCTACTTAATAAATAAAATACGTAATGAAAATAATATAATTTAGTGATTTTTCTTTGAAGTATTACTAACTATTATTAGAGTACTAAGTACCTACTTAGTATTCTAATTATGCCAATTAGAGCCAAATGTATGTTGCTTCAATAACTTCTTCGTAAATTTTTACTCTAGCAAAAGTCCGAGGTCTAAAACCCCCAGGCGCTCTTCTATATGCGAAGCTAACAATACACAGAATAGTTTGTAATACCAGAAATATAATATACTTATAATATTAAATATTTTTGCGCTTCAAGATATTGAAAGATTTCTATGTAACTTGCTAAAGTGGCGAAGATACCCTTGTAGTATATGTTGGCGTATTTCACGTTGAAGGTTCGTGCTTAGGGTGCGGAATAGGGTATTTGACAAGTTTTAGAAAATGATCTCACGTTATTTACTAATGTTTATAGAGTCCATAAAAAGGATATTCATCATTATGTTGTGTATTTCGGTAAAAAAACTAAATCAAAAACTCAATTTTCAAAACGTATCTCTGGACAATATGGTGTCTCACTGGTGTGTGACGTCACACGACTGTCATTAAAACGTCAAACCATACAATGTAATGTCACTTTAACCGGAAGTTTACTTGCGCGGACGTCATTTTAGGCTCCACCAATCCCAAGCGTTTTGGGTCACGTGACAAAGGACAAGAAAATTGGGTTTCGTGGGTTTTTAGTAAAATTATGAATATTTTTTCTGTAAAAATAGTAAAAACTCCTGCCAATATTCATTCTAAATACAGATGCTAACAATTGGCACGTTATTTTTAATACTGGCAAATACCCTATTTAGCCAAAAATGGCCGCCACTAAGGGTACATAATTAAAATAGTACTTAATCAGGCTGATATAGTCGGTTCGGCAGTATTTGTCGAACAACAAATACGACCCCTAGTAATTACCTACTGCCGAACATTCATATACGTATATTCGATTTTACCGCCGGGCTGTGCCGATTAATGCCGGCCCGCTTATGTGTGTCCTACAGAGCTACCCTAGCCACCAGCGGCTGCAATAGGCTATTTGACAGTATGAAAAATATTTGTACCAATTGTTGGCATCTGTATTTAGTATGAGTATTAACAGCGATTTTACTATTATGAAAGAAAGAACAAATAATTAATAAGTATTCTATAAAATCACTAAATAGAATTGTTTTTTTTGTTCCATGGTCATGTGACCGAAAACGCCTGGGATTGGCCAAAACAAAAATGATGTCAGACACTAGTAAACTTTCGGCCAAAGTGACATTACATTGTATCGTTTGACGTTTTAATGACAGTCGTGTGACGTCACACACTAATGTCCAGAGAAACGTTTTAGCGGCATCTTGAAAATTGAATTATGTTTTTTTTTACTGAATTACATAATAGAAATAAAAATATCCGTTTTTTATGGACTCCATAATCATTAGTAAATAACACGAAATCGTTTTCTAAAACATGTCAATCCCTATTGTAGTCCGGTCAATTTAGACATAAAAATAGGGATCAAATAACAAAAACCCCGACAGAGCCAAATATTGGTGGAAACCTTTGTTTTACCCTTATAAATAAAAATTTAACAGTCCCCATCAATCCCATGCGAGCTTCAAAAGTTATGCGGGGCCAAATGTCAAAATTTTAGGTTTTTTATTATATAGTACGTGACTCTCACAATCACGATATCTCAGGAACGGTGATACTTAGAGAAAAAATCATAAGAACCATTTTTGTAGAGAATTTTGAGATCTCCAATTTTAACCTGAGGTATTTTTTTGATTAAACTTACCGTTTTTGAGAAAAAGTCAAAAAACCTAAAATTTTGTACTTTGACCCCGCATAACTTTTGAAGCTCGCATGGGATTGATGGGGACTTTTAAATTTTTATTCATAAGGGTAAAACAAAGGTCTCCACTAATATTTGGCTCTCGGGGTTTTTGTTATTTGAATTGTCTAAATTGACCAGACTATTGGTAGCTGCGTCTGGTGGATTGACTGAGCCACTATTAGTGGCTCAATGTACGGGCGCCATAAAATATCACTACCTTTTGCTCGTCATGTTTCTGACGTTAAATAAGGTTCCAGGGCTCCACGATGCAACGGCGTTAATGATATTCTGGTATAACAAGCGTCTTTTCTATTGGCTATGGGCAACATGCTAAGCGGCCAAAATGCTTGTTTGCCAACCCTTTATAAAAAAAGTAATGGGAAACGAAATAAAAAAATTAGGGATACAAAACTCATGAACTGATGCAGGTAATTTACGAAAATGAAAGTAACATTTATATAAGAAATAAAATATTTATTCCACAATAATAAACATCCAAAAATATAAAGCACCCATTTCATTTTCACAGCATGATATTATTTTTTTGTTATTCACAATAAATAAGTATAAAAAAAACTTACAACAAACAACCAACCACCCGAGCCAAAATATAATCGGAATGTTTTAACGACAGTACATAATAAACTTATTATCCTTACGAAACAGATATATGTCTTATTAAAAATATAATTGTGATAGCTATAAAACACTGCCTCAATACAACGGTCTAAGATGTGTTCTTAAGATTCTAATCACAAAAAGAGCTTCTTAACTGCAAACAGCATTATGAAAATACTGTGACAACTGCGAATAAACGAATACGAAATGCCTCCTAGCAGTAGAAAAAGAAGAAGTTCATTTGTGTTGTGGCATTTTTGAATTTGTATTAGTATGTAATCTGTCACAAATGCTGAGATATATTATTTATTTTACAACGTAACAACAGATTGTACCTTGGCGGAGATTAGTTTTTTCTGCAAATGGCTATCGATGATCAAAAGAACTACGCTACTTAGCGTAGTTCTCGCGTAGCGTAGTAGCGAAGCGTAGTTCTTTGGAACATCAATCGCCATCAAAGCTCATTAAAATAGAAATTTTTGTCACACCAGCTATCCGACTCCTTTTATAAGGTAGCTTAAAAACGCATTTCGATATTGGACCGCATTTTATATACATTATTTAAAAACAAGAGGAATTCCGAAAGCGATAATAAAAAAAATAAGATCAAGGAGTTTATTAAATTTAGTTATTGTATGTGGTTGCGGAAACGTTACCGCCATGGCCTGTCCAGTTTGTGTGGACGTAATTCCCAGGTTTGCTTAACAGTTCGTACGTGTGAGCACCAAAGTAATCTCTCTGCGCCTGTAAATCGAAAACAAAATATAAATATATAGGTGGTATGTTCAGTTCAGTGTGTTTTTCCAAGCACGATGAACTACCGAGAAAGTATTCGTATAGCCAATTCCAAGTTTCTATGGAAACTTAGCAGCAGTAGCTGCCCTACTGGAAGTAAGAACAAAGTAGCTCTTTCCTTAGAAACTTTGACAATAGCGATACGAACACTTTCTCACTAGTTGTTAGTGCTTGGAGTACAGCTCACAGCATTACAAGAGAGTTACTCTAATATTAGGATTCAGCGGAAGTTCCGCACGAAGCTACCCATCTGGGAATATCCATAATTCCATACTAAAGTTATAAATTCGAACATCTATGTCGGCAACATTTTCACGTTTAAACTGATGTACCGATTTGGATAAGATATAATATAAATAATTTGGTATATGATAAGATTGACCTAAGGGAAGTGGGGGACATATTTTTTCTGACGTGAAAGTAAAACTTGCAAGGGGAGAAAAGGAGATCAATGTTGGAAAAGAAAAGCAATTAAGTATTCATAACTTTATAAATAACCATTTATAATGGCATTTGAGAAGGCAAGTTGTTCAAAAAATTAGATTCACAATGAGTGAGTATAATGGTTTATTGTTTTTGTCCCACAATACCGCACATTGTTGCGTCGTCAGTTTCTATGAAAACTAAGCAGTGCCCCTATCGGATGTAAGAATAAACTAGCTTTTTCCGTACCAAATTTGACCACAAACAAAGAAACTTGCGCAGTAGACGTTACTGTATGTAAGCTTGCTACTGCGCAGGCTTCCTTGTCTATTGTCGTTGCTCAAAAAGTTTGCCGGGATGTATACCTGTAGCAAGTTGGCCGGCAGCGCCTCGGAGCGTACCCGTCGTAGAAGGCGTGCGCGGAATAGAGCATGGGCGCCGGCACCACATGTCGCAGTGTCATTCAGTCTTTGTGACCAGTTACCTGCTGCAAGTTGGCCGGCAGCACCTCGGAGGGGTATCCGTCGTGAAAGGCGATCCAGAAAAGTACGCGGGCGCCGGCACGGCCTGTCGCAATGTCGTTCAGTTACCTGCAGCCAGTTGGCCGGCAGCACCTCGAAGCGGTATCCGTCATAGAAGGCGAACGCGGAAGAGAACGCGGGTGCCGGCACCGTCTGTCGCAGCGTCGTTCAGTCTTTGTGACCAGTTAGTTACCTGCAGCAAGTTGGCCCGCAACACCTCGGAGGGGTATCCGTTGTAGAAGGTGATCCAGGAAAGAGCGCGGGCGCCGGCACCGCCTGTCGCAGTGTCGTTCAGTTACCTGCAGCAAGTTGGCCGGCAGCACTTCGAAGCGATATCCGTCGTAGAAGGCGAGCGCGGTAGAGAGCACGGGCGCTGGCACAGCCTGTCGCAATGTCGTTCAGTCATTGTGTCCAGTTACCTGCAGCAAGTTGGCTGGCAGCACTTCGAAGCGGTAACCGTCGAAGAAGGCGAGCGCGGAAAGAGGGCAGGCGCCGGCATTGTCTGTCGCAGTATTGTTCAGTCTTTGTGTTCAGTTACCTGCAGCAAGTTGGCCGGAAGCACCTCGGAGCGGTACCCGTCATAGAAGGCGAGCGCGGAGGAGAGCGCTGGCGCCGGCACCGCCTGCAGCGCCGCGGTGGCCACCACCTGCCGCAGCGAACCCTGGCACGAGCTAATGCGCTCGCTAAAGTACGGGTCCAACAGCAGGTTGGACAACTGCGGGTTCTTCGTGAACGCGTCCTAGTTACACATAATATGGGATTAAACGAGTTTTACCGTAAACAAGTTTTTTTTTATTCGCTCATTTATTACATTACATTGATTTAGTTGATGATGGATTATGATGTGGTAAAGGAGAATGGGCAAATTAACTCTACTACTAGTAGTAGTAGTATCTACCTACTCAACACCAACGAGCCATGTATAAATAAAAAGGACATTTCCTATATATATATTTTTTTGTACCGCAAATGTGTAGCTCATGGGGTTCCTCCTCTTTTAATGGGAACAGAATTTACTACTAATGGTATATATTGCGACAGGGTTTGGCGGGGGAGAGGGTAGGGAGTGGGGTTGGCTTGAATTCCCGACGCGAGTGCAGGTGCACACACCATATTAAAATGTAAACAAACATCGAGCAATGTAGCAAAACGATATCAATAATAGTTCCAAGAATCGTCAAGAGTTGGCCAACTGTGGTCTGCATCGCGTTATCGTTTACTTCACTGTCTAGTATAAGTACTGATTGTCGATTTAGTAAGATTAATCCCCTCAGGATCGAGTGGTCTAGAGGCTCCAAGAAAACTCCCCGAATACCTCTAGAGACACTCGGCTTGAGGTCCCCAAACCCAGTGATGCTGTAAAGGTAATCTGCGACCAACAGCATACACCCAAAAAACAAAAGTAAGATTAAACCGGTTACACGGACACGCAGCCCGGTTCTGTTTCGGACCGAAGGATTGCCCACGGCCGAGGGTACCGGATAACCGGCCAGCACACCGCGGACTACCGCGGCTGTCCTAAAGCCCCGCTCCCTTGCGAGAGCAAAGGCAAGCGTCCTCAAGGATCAAACGCTAACGGTCTCTCCAGTCAGAGTGCGGAATTGCATTTTTTTAGTAGATTACGCAATAGATATATTTTTAATACAAGAAACGTTTTTGAAACCGTCTATTCGTGGCCCGGGCATTGCCAATTATAACTTAATCCAGAAGGATAGAAACGACCGCGGCGGTGGCACTCTCATCTACTACAAGCGGCCCCTCCATTTTTCTCCGCTAGTCCCTCCCACTCTGACTGATTTAGAAGTCTCCGTCTGTCGGCTAGGCATGTGAAAAGCATTCACTTGATGATTTCGTTAGACTTTTGTATTAAATATAAAAAATACCTACTCTATTCACACACCTTTTTTTTACACAAGATGGTGTTGAGTGTGAGAGAAATTGCCACCTATTATTAAAAGTAACGTCCTTATAAAGGACTTCCTGTAATCTGAAAGTTAAGTCAAATGTGCATATGAATATTTAATCTCTGTCAATTCATAAAATTTATCTGACCTACCCGAGTGTATCAAGTGATTACATATATCGGAAATACAAACAATAGGTACCTAACTGGAAAAAAATAGGTAAGATGTTATGTTATAATAAAACACGTCAGTTCGGTGAAGTAGAGTGTGGCGGAGTCATGGACAGGTTTACATAACGCGACCCCGATTCGGGTCCCGCGTGACGCGTTATCTTAGCGCAGCGACGAGAGCGCAGAGGGCACTTGAAGGTTAAACCCATACCGCCTTATTACAAAACGTAGATGAAAGTTAAACCTGGACTAAAACAGCTGCTATCATTTTTGTTTGCTAAAAAGAAGACATAGACAACATTACGTTTAAACCAAGACTAACCTTAGTCCCCGTTTTGGAATAAGGCGAAAAGTGCTACAAATTGCATGAAAACCGAGCGAGTCATAGGTATTTTGTGGGTAAATTTTGTGGTGTAAAAGCATGGGCAGCGGAATCCGGTTTCAATTCTATCGTTTTTACGTCCAAATCAAAAAAATTGGGATCGACATCCGTATCGATAACAGTGATAAAAAGCAATAAGATAGCAAAAAAGGAAAACTTTCGGTCTCCCTTTTGACATGTTTTTGAAACGCGAAGTAATGAAATTATACTTTATCTAAAGTGAAAAATCTCCTTTCCCACAGATGAAATATGGAGATTCGACCATGAGCACGCGGGCCCAGTGCGGATTGGTGTGACTAACGGCTGCAGATGCGGCCGGAACCAACGGCTTAACGTGCCTTTCGAAACACGGAGAAGCTCGAAATAGTACATTTTTTGTCACCCATCCAATGACCGACCACTGCGAAAGTTGCTTAACTTCAACGTTCTAACCGAACGCGCTAACTACTTGCCAGCCATAGATCTCCTCAAAGCAACTTTTACATAAAATCATGTCGATACCAATACAACGTCCACTCACATTTTTATTGCTGTCATACAATATAAATACACAGTATTTGTATTAGGTATAGAACATAATACACCTGCGGTATATATTTCATGGCTAAACCTCACAATACTCTCACTCACCTTGATGTTGCCGAGAAAAACGCTGCGGATTATACAGCCGCCGCGCCACATTAGGGCTATGCTGCCGTAGTTCAAATTCCACCTATGAACCTGAATACAATAGAACAGAACCTTTATTTCATAACTGGTGAGAGTACAAAATGCCTCAGGAACATAAAGTATAAAACGGTTGCTACATATATTATTTATTATTCATAAAAATAGTATATTTAGGTAATTTTATTTTTTTACTTAAAAAATCTAAAGCAGCAAAAGTCTGCTTAATAATTATATAATTATAATAATCTGGAAGATAAAACAAAAAAAAATATCAGCCTTATTAACTCGAAAAAGTTATGGGCAGTCATATAAAAAAATTCAATTTCAATTGATGTAAGTTTCAATAATTGTGTGCTTCAGATAAGTTAGTTTTTTTTACAAATTTATTTCGTCGTCTACGTTGTCTATATTGGTTTTTGAGACATGTCTCACTATTTAATAATAATAAATAAGACATCGAAAATTATATAATTATTAAGGTCTCAAACAAAGCAGAACTTGTACTAAAGAAACTAAATACAGTACACAAAATATGTATATGGATATCTAAATAAATATATAGCGACTCAGGAACAATTACTTGTGTTCATCACATAAATTTTAAGTAAATCAAGCATAGGCAGACTTTGAAAAGCAAAGCATATCGATCGTCATACAACGTTTTATCCAAATTGTTATAACCGTTTTCGAGATACCTACTCGTAAAAAATTTAATTATTAGAATTAATGAATCTACATGGTGCCGCTGGGCGCACTAACCTTCCGCCTAGCTAATGCTACATTTTACCCCGATGATTATTACGATGAAAACCGTTTAATAGCTCTTAATCTATTAAAACATCTATTATGATAGATAACACAAGAATTGCTCACTTAACTACGATAAATGTCACCTACCAGGTATTGAACCAAGCACCTTTGAAAAGGCATGATCTTTTTCAGCTCATATAAGGCTAAGCTCATATAAATTTAACAGATAATGGTGTCGATTCTGGCATGATTCTCTAAACTTATAACTAAATTGAATATCAGTCTCTCCTTTGATTCTGTATAGAGAATGACAAGGATACACTGCTGTCATATTTTAGTTTAGGTTTAGAGATTCATGCCAGAATCGACACCTATAATATTACTAACCTTGGCCGCTTCACGTAACAACATGAAGCCTTGAGCGTAAGAAATCAGTTTACTAGCATAGAGCGCCTTGCGCAAATGTTCTAAAAACTGTTTCTTGTCACCAGTAAACTTCTCCGTAGAACCAGGCAGTATCTTGCTTGCTTTGACACGCTCATCTAATAAAAGAACAAAGTCAAGCATTACTAAACTATTTAAATTAAAGTACGACTTCATAGAATTACGAAAAATTTAATTATATTTTTAAGGTGACAAATGCAACTGTATAAATGTTTGTTACAGGACTTTATCTTTTGAAAGGAAACATACAACAACACAAAAATACACATGACACCTGATTTTTTTACAGAATGCGTGTTACTGTGACTGCCATCACCAAAAATAATAGAAATAAAATAAAGATGATTTTGCCATAAATCTATATTTATAGCAAAATCACCTTTAGATAATGGAATTTTCAGACTTTATTTTTCTCAATCTAGTTTTAAATATTGTAGCAGGGAACCCTTCTTTTCCTTTTAAAATAATACAAATATGAGCGCAATTCTATATCAATAAATCATTGCATGCGATTAAAATTACGCAGTTCGAAACATGACCAAGATGACATAATGGCAATAAGAGACAATTATGAATAGATCATAAGACCTAGTCATAGAGCCACTATCACAGCACACCAATCCCCCTAGCATACCACCAAAACGATATAATAAACAATTTATTTTTATATCGAATAGAGTGGGACAGTTCAGTGTTGATAAAAAGCTCTAACATATATCGCAGTTCTCATGCCACAGTGGAAGTACTTAATCAACAGGTCTAAAATATCATATTTCACAAAACTTGTTTTTATACAAATGCAAAGGAATATATAATATAGCCACACTAGAATAGAGATACTTATAACAAATGTTGCCAGCTGCTTTCTAATGAAAATAGACAAAGATATATCACAGTTACCTTTTATAGCAGAAAGGCATCGTGAGAAGACAGCTTCTCCAATTAGTGTGACGGGAACTCCATACTCCAATGCACTAATACCAGTCCATTTTCCAGTGCCTTTTTGTCCAGCGGAGTCACGTATTTTAGGTAGAAGGAATTTCCCTGAGTGAGAAGAATTTATTCAATAAATTTATAAACATCACAAACTCAAATCAATGCAATTTAAAATCAAAGAAACAGTCAACCTTAAAATGTGACTATGAATGTGTACACTAATAGTTAAAAACTAACAAAAGCCTTTGTTAATTGCTAAGCTAAAAAACATAATAATAAAGCAGATCAAACTGAAACAATAACTACTAGCGTCAAAAACTGTGTGGGTTGTTTTGTTATATAATACATATTTTATGGTTAAAATTTTAAACTTAAGTTTAAAAATAGCTGCTAATGAAATATCTATAGCAATTCCAGACATGCAACCCAAACATTTTGTATAATTTCACTATGCAATAGTTAATTGTACCATCAACATCCTTGAATTTTAAAATATCATGTGTGATTTCAATTAAAAATGAGTCTAGTTCTCCTTTATTCCATTCTTCAAACACTGCAGCCATTTCATCTTGCGGCATACCTGGTAATATTTTTATAATATTAGAATACATGTGAAATATGTAATGATTTATCAAAATTATATTGATCTCGTAACCATTCCCACCTAAAACATCCTTCATTAGGTGATAGGCCTCACAGATAAGTTGCATGTCCCCATATTCTATACCATTGTGTACCATTTTAACAAAATGTCCGGCACCACCATCGCCAACCCAATCGCAACATGGTTCATTATTAGCTTTAGCACTAATGGCCTAAAACAAATGTCTATATTAGTATTGTCATTTATCTAATGTGAGAGGAGTACAAATAAAAAATGCATAACACACTTGAAAGATGGGTTTAACATGTGGCCATGCTGCTGGGTGCCCACCGGGCATCAAAGAAGGTCCATATCTTGCTCCATCCTCTCCACCACTTACCTAAAAATACAAATTTGTTGCTGTAATCATGTTTTGATCCATAGTAAAATTTTAAACATCAAGATAGTATGATCAACCTCAAAAGCACTTTGGTACCACTTCACACTAATACTTACAATTAAACATTATACATCAGTGTTGTTAACTAATATTATAATAACCCAACAATTGTTATTTTAAGCAAAGTTTATGGTTATATTACCATAAACTTTGCTTGCCCTGCACCTGCGACTGTTTAGATTAAGTGACTTCATATACATAATTCACAACCAGATGGGTTGCATCAGATTCTTACTAAAAAAGCACTTAATATCCTTTAACATAAAATTCAAATTCACAATGAAGGACAAAAACAAAACACTGCATTTGTATTAAATTAAGTAAAGCATAGAGTTTAAAATTAAGCAAAGTTTTGAAGGCTGACCATAGTTTATACTTACACCCATGCCAATATAATGTATGCCAGTAGGTTCAAGCTTGCTACACCATTTTTCAGTATCTAAATACTGTGAATTACCACCATCAATTATAATATCCCCCTTTTCAAGCAGAGGTAGTAAGTTCTTCACAAATTCATCAACTGCTGAGCCAGCTGTAAATGTTTTTACATGAAAGTTAATGGAGTATATGTTTCTAAGAGGTTGCTGATTTATATTAAAAAAAAACATAATTTGAAAACGCTATCTATATATCTACAATATAAGCTAGGTGTATATAGATCTATTTTCTTTAATTTTTTCAATTTTTTTACATTATATGTGGGTACTAAGAGTATTACAATTTACTTTCTACAGAAATTTCAGGGAGAAATTTATGATTTTTGTGATAATATCTACTGAAACAAGTTTCAAACTCTGTGTGGCTAGTAATTAAATAAAACAATATAAATCTACATGTTCAGCTCCTTACTTACCCTTCACTAGCAACATTACTTTTCTTGGTTTCTTTAACTTTTGAACCATATCTTCAAGCGACTTTGCTCCAATTATTTTTGTTCCTTTAGCTTCATTAGCAAGAAATTGATCAACCTATTGCAAATGAATTATAGTGAGTAAATTATGGACTTTTCAATAGTATGATTTTTAATCAGTTAACAGAATTTCATTGAATAATTAAATAAAATTACCTTAGCAACTGTCCTGTTGTAGGCACACACCACAAAACCATGGTCATTCATATTTAGAATAATATTTTGACCCATTACTGCTAATCCAATAAGAGCTATATCTGCCTTTTGGCTAAAACATTTTGAAAGAATAAAAATACAGTTGTAGTCAACTGTATTTTGTACGATTGTACACTATTGTGTACAACATCTGGTGCTTTTTATAAAAGTAAATATTGAGACACCCCAATATATAATTCCAATAGTTGACAGTCACAACAGATGTTGAATTCACCTTGATATAACCTTGTGTATTAAACTTATTTTTTGTGCATTTCATTCAGGTTCTGAGAATTTAGACATTAAAAACAAACATATTGTGATTTCCGCATCTATTGATTGATAAGTTGCAATACATGTGGAACAGAAATATGAGTTCGGCAAGTTGGATATTCTTTTATGTCTACAGTCAAATCTATGCACCTAATCATATTTATAGAGTATGATTCTTGCAATACATAATTAGATAACATATAGACATTAAATTAAGAATATTGTAGCTAACGTATGTTTAAACTTTGCTGATTTGAAAGGGAAGGGAAAGCCTCAAAGTAGTTACCTGCTAAAAATAAAAGTTTTACTTACTCAGCCATAGTGAATAACAGATGAATTGATTTTAATAAACTAGTAGGTAAGTCAACCTTAACAATAAAAAAATACACTTATGGGTTTCACAAATCTTAATTAGCAGAAGTTAAGGTTACAACATTCCTCTCACAAACTTGCATGACACAAATGATATAAAATGTGAAATGACAAAAACTTTAATACAGAGTCAAAGTCAAGGATAATAAGTCAAGCAAGACAATGGTGTCGATTCTGGCATGATGATGATTATCTAAACTAAAGCTAATTTAACATCAGTCTCTCCTTTTTATTCTGTATAGAAAATGACAGGGATACACTGTTGTCAAATTTAAGTTCATGTTTAGAGAACCCTACCAGAATTGAAACCAATCACAGATTAATTTAGTTTATAATGCCGGTAGTTCACTGGCTATTTGTTTTTTTTTTTAACTTGACAAAGGGTCCAACTCTGGCGTACCAACTTATATTTAAAACTAACCCCCCCTTATTAATAAACGAAAAATAAGCTTGGATTAGCAACTTCATGTTTTGTCTCTGTAATGTTTGTCTATGTAATGTAATAGATTTGTTCGGTACCAAAATCAAGTTGGTACCTATATTTAAATTTAATTTTAAGTGGTTGCTTTTCCATTCCTGTTGCCAAAAAAAAATAATTAGGCATGCTCTAAGAAAAAATATGATTCCTAAAGTTCTCCCCGCAGATTTAATTTCTCCAAGTTCACATTTTTCCCCAAAATAAGGATAAATACTCCTAATCTAGAAATCCTAAGTACCACAGAGTAGGCAAGTATTCACTCTTTAATTCACAAAATTATAGTTTTTATAATCACATATCAAATAGACGAAAGTTCGTGAGACAACCACAACCGCAATCAACAACTGCAGTGAAGATAAAAGAACGCATCGCTAGTGTGGACACGCAGATCACATACGTTGGGCGATATCGATTTTATTCGAATGATTTCCTATTATACCCACCCCAGGTAGACGGCTTGTATATTTTGTGTTCATACTTAATCATTAATTTCATCCATGAACAACCGCCAAATTAAACATCTTGGGAATGAAATGTCAAGATGCTGGATGTAAACTAAATATAACTGGTATATGTATACACTTATAAGCTTAAGAGCCCTATTACAAATCTGCACTCTACGAGAATGGGTATTTGAAGCGTTCCTGACAACTCATTGAAGGTCACGAGTTTACAATACTGTGTTGAACCTACGACCAAGCGATTTTGATACTTTTTTCCAAGTTTTGTATATTTTTAGTATTTCTATGTAGTAATTCGTTAACGCTATACTCGCACATTTTTAGAGTGCCATGGAGGTTCTCATATGTGAATAAACAGATTAAATGAAGATGATACCATAAATAAAACAGATGATATTTGTTCAAAACAAAATTTATTTTTTATGTTTTTCGTTTTAGATTAAAATAAAAGATTAGATATTTATTATTATTTATATATTATTATAGATATATATTACTATTATGTTTGATTATTTACATGACAGTATAAAATACCCTAAGTCAGAACTACATATTTGCCAAATTTCAATCAAATCGATCTAATGGTTTTTGTGTGAAAAAGCAACAGTCATGAGCTTATTTCAGATTCATCATATTATAACCTGCTCGCTGAGAGAATGAGTTCTTGACATTTGTCAGTTAGTCATATTATAACGGTATATTACTCTTAGCCACCGCGGTATCCTGCTATGAGGTGGCCAATAGGAATACCCTGTTACGAGTAACTCACAGATGTCAGAAATGTACTCCCTCAATAATAAAACGTTTTTCTTGTAACGAATCAAACTCTAACTCAATATGATTTATTCAGTCTAGGCTGTTACAAGTATTTGTGAATGACGAAATGCTATGTCACCGGTTCGCAAATCTACGGCGGGAGACCTTGTACTAAGAAGAACCGGCAAGAAACTCAGCAAGGGCTCTTTTTCTCCTTGCCATTATATACAAAGCCGTCAAATTTAAAAATGACTTCAATATGAGATAATTCAAGAAGTCATTTTCCGTTACAAACACAAATAAAATATATAAAAAAATACTAACACTTTAAAAATACTTATTTAACACATACTTTAAGAACGCCGTGTAGGACACTTAAGACATAATAAAAAAGTATAACGATATCATTATCAGCCGACGGACGTCCACTGCTGGGCCTCCTCAAGGGATTTCCATAAGAAACGATCCTGCGCTCTCCGCATCCAGTAGGTCCCCCTGACTCGCTTGATGTCGTCACTCCACCTCGTGAGGGGTCTACTGACACTGCGCTTCCCGGTTCGAGGTCGCCATTGAAGCTCCTTGGGACCCCATTTAATGTAGCAAGAGCAGACCCATCTCCGCTGGCAGCACCCATTAACCAGCATGACGCATGAACCAGCCATCGCTTCGCTCAACCATGTTTTAGGGAACGTAACGATCCGCCTCACATGACACCGCCAAAGAGACTTTTAAGAGAGCATGACGACTCCCAATTACATATGGATACTAGATTGCAAATAGAAAAAAAATAAGTACCTGTGTACATAATTACTAAAAACACAACTGCAGGACATATGCATTTGATTACCTATACACTATTACATCTTAAATAGAAAAATAATATGTAGTAGTTGATCTACATTTGATTGCTGTGTCAAAAATCAATTAATTATCATTACAATAATACAGTAGTGATAATGTCGGGATATTTTCTTTATCCATCGGAAATAATAATGTTTTCTTGGCAGAGAAGTTATTCATTCTGAAACAGTGACATTATAAATGATTAGTGCTCAATATCTCTTATACTTTAGCAGGGTTGATAGAGTTTCACATCAGGTGCAACAGACATTCGATTTTTAGGTCATTACAAAATACTCATTGTGTCTACATTTGTATCTCTTACAGTTTGGCTGGGCTGCTATGGTTCCAAATTAGTTATCCCTATCTTCAAAATAATATTTATTACAGAGGACGAATAGCAATACAAAACAAAATTTCATCAAAATTATAAGAAGACAATTTAAAAAAATAAAGCAAAATTGGCCCGTTTACATTTTTATTATATGTTAATATTATATATGTATGGTATGCCAAAAATAATAAAATAAATATTAATATTTAAAGAATAATTGAACACAATGATATGTAGATTCCATATAAAACAAACACTTAAAAGAATTATACTTACCTGATCAAAACTTGTTGGTCGCACTATACTCTGACGCTCGATTGATTATGGCGCAAAACATGAGAAAAAATTTGACACAGGTCCGACAGGTACTGAGTTCGGACGACCGGCGCATCGCATTTTGTAGTAATTTTGCAGTTGTATTTATCGTATTAATTGAAATAAGTGAATAGATTCATGCTTTAAAATTATAAATTCTTTATTCCTCATGAAGTAACAATTGTTTTGGTATAAATTTTGCTCAGTAATATTATCGTAAATAGGAGTAAATCGCAATTAACTTTAAGCGATTTTCGAAGATTTTTAGGTTTAGAATAAGTTTTATTCTATATTAAATCGAAGATATTTCAAAATTCTAAGGCTGCTACGAACTATACGACTATATAGGAGATAACATTCTCATTTTTTTATTTAATTTGCTTAGAACAGTAGTTCAATCCAGGAGCTCAAAAAGGTGCCTTCGCGCATTTTATGAAAATCTTTCTCTGCAATTTTGGATTTAATTAAAAAGTTAAGCAAAATTTACAAAAAGCGAGGCCGCTACGAACTAGGCCAATAGTTATTCTGCACTATTCAATAGATCAAAATTGTTAATGTATATTTGTTTCTGAGAACAAGAACGCCAATTTACGCAAAAATCACAATCGAGATGTAATATGCCTCTTAAGTAAAAAGCCTATTATACTACCCAATTTTAAGGGAACCTTACCCTGACTAAGGGTAAGAAAAGTACAGTTTGCAAAAAAAATCTTGGAACACTTTTTTTGCACTCCGCTAATTCAAGAATAAAAACCAAACATTTGTAAACAAACAATAACAAATATTGATAATTAATATCGGTTGATATTTTTTTTCACTTATTGGCATTGGCAATGGTTGATACCTAAATCGTCAACCAAATGTCACATTAAGTTGCGTTCAGAAACTCGATTTCAAACTTTCGTTTACATAAAGGATGCATGTTCGTATGTGACCTAGTAATAGTGCATGATTATTCATAACTACTCCGGCGGTAATGCAAAGATAAATAATCTTTTTTTTTAATAAATAATCGTTTATTTCTCGTCACAACATTTTGGCATCGACAACATTTTTTTAAAATAATAATTACATTTTTATAGGCATATGGATGGATAGACATTTAACAATCGTAGTATAAGTACCATTGCATACCTGATGTCATGAGAAATCGGTGTCTGAACTAAGCCGAGCTTGTATTTCAGAGCACCGGTCCCCCCTCCTTGGGATGGGTTAGGTTACAGCAATCTATTACAAATATGTCTATACAGCTTAGGACGTTAACATAAAGTAAAAAATCTACTTATTGTATACGAAAAATACAAAAAATAAATTGAGAAGGTGAATTTGCCATAGTATAAGGTACACAATCATGGTTATGACACAGCATTTATGGATATAGATGAACACACACACACTCAGACACAAACAAATTATTAGCAACTGTATACATACATCCAAAATACATACACACTCGGACACAAAGTAACTATAATAATCAGGAAAAGCCAAGTTTTCACTTTACGCCAATCATCCCAAACGAAGCAGGAGGTTTTTGGTTTGATCGTAGTTTAATGATTTTAGATAATGAGAGACAGTAAGTTTGCAAGAGTATTTAGTTAGCCCCAAAATATTAAGTTTTAGTTGCAGGCGATTGTATAGAAAAGGACCTAGGGAACAGAAGAATCGCCTACTAAAAGAGGTTTTGAAGCAAGAGGAAATAGCAACTAAGTGATTACGTCGATTTAGAGCAGGTTCAGTTAGGCCATGTTGTTTCAGGATGGTATACGGAATGAAGAGTTGGCGGACTGTTAGTACATCACAAAATTGGTATAACTCATCAGTAGGGAAAAGTATAGGTTTGAAGGTGCACACTTTCAACAGAGCTCTTTGTGCTCTTTCGAGGATCAGAATATGAGTTTTGCAGGCACCTCCCCAGGAAGTAATGCAGTATATCAAAAGTGACTGGCAGAGTGCTATATATACAGATTTAACTATACCGGAAGGAGCTACGTGACGCAAATTTTTAAAGATAAAGATGAGTTTACGTTTTCTGCATGCTGTGAGTGAAAGGTGAGATTGGAAAGTTAAACGATTATCTACAAGAACTCCTAGATAATGGATGGAGCTAGACATGGAAAGAGGAGCGCAACTACATGGGGATTGGGATTGAAGACAGTGGGATTTAGAATGAGCAACAATGTTAAGATTGTTTAGAAAAGTGGGAGGAATCCTTCTAATGGAGAAAGTGAGATATTTTGTCTTTTGGACATTCAAGTTTAAGAGGTGAGTTCGTAACCATGCTGTTACTGTATCAAATCCCCTTTGAGCTACACAAAAGGCTTCCCTCCATGAGCTTGGAGTAAACAATAAGGCTGTGTCGTCAGCATAGGCAATTATTTTACAGCTTGGGATTTTGAGAGAGCAGAGGTCGTTGATGAATGTTAGGAACAGCGTAGGGCCTAGTATGCTTCCTTGTGAAACACCATACTCAATAGGAAGCTCTGAACTGGTAATCCCATTTGCCATACATACTCTCTGCGTACGATTGGAAAGATAACTATGAAATAACGAGAACTGATTACCCCGAACTCCCAAGGCTTCAAGCTTTGTAAGCAAGATTGGCACGGAAACCGTATCAAAGGCCTTTGCAAGATCTAAAAAGATGGCCAAGCATTTTTGTACCTTATCTAAATATAGTTTGTGAGATCATGTACGGCATCAGCGGTTGATTTACCCTGTCTAAAACCATACTGTGCACGGGATAATAATGACTTTGTTTCAAGAAAGTTAATAAATTGTTTATTAACGATCTTTTCCAATACCTTAGACAGTGCTGGTAAGATTGAGATAGGCCTATAGCTGTTTGCACAGTCTTGATCTCCAGATTTGTAGATAGGGTGTACTAGTGCTTTTTTGAAAGCTGACGGAAAAATGCCCTTATTAATAGAGATATTACATATGTGAGCTATACTAGGAGCAAGAACATTTTTAAAACGCTTTAGAAATGAATTTGAGATGTTATCCCAACCCACCGCACAGTCTTGTTTCAGAGAAGAAATAATAAGCTCAACCTCCTGCTGAGACGTTTCGAGCAAAACAAAGGCTGCAATGCTGAATTGCGAGATAGAGTCAGAGCAGAGGAGGAAACTGAATGTAATGAGGCGTTTATTGGGTTTTGAGTGAGAATATCCTCTCCTAATGATTTTCCAACATTCACGAAAAACTCATTCACTCGATCTAACGATTCTTCTTTCGAGGGCATTGTGTAAAGTAATGGGTCACCGGAAGTGCGGGATTTATTTAAATTTGTCACTTCTTTAATAGCCTTCCAGAGGTGTTTACTGTTTGAGCCTGCCTTTTTAATGAGCTCAGTATCGTATGCCCTTTTTAACCGTTTTAGAAGAGAATTGCAAAAGTTGCGGTATCTTGTAAAGGTTGTTTTGAGTACATTGTTGTCAGGATTTAATTTTAGTTTTTTATGCATACTGTCTCTATTAAACATCTTAAAAGCCCTGGCGTTATCCATGGTTTTATTATTCGTTGCCGTCTAGGTACAGGGAAGTTTGTGGTATGTAGATCAATAACTGACTGTAGTTTTTTAATAAAGAGGTCAGTGGCATAATTAGGATCTGTGGAATTTAACACTGGAGAGAAATCTATTTCATTAATTATTGCAGCTATATTGATGTAGTTGATTTTTTTAATAAGTTTGGGGGGTGCAACCGTTTTGGTGTTGCAGAGCGCAAGAAGTACCGGTTCATGATCTGTTACACTTGAATGAATCACAAGCGAAGTGGCAGAGGACGGTGATTTTAGAATTGCGTGATCAAGGCACGTTAAGTTACGAGTGGGTAAGGTGTGAGCGTGAGCCGGAAGGAGGCCATGATGAGCAAGAGTATTTAAGTATTCTTCTGTATCAGAATGATCAACATTTGGGGATATGTCAATATTAATATCACCCATTATAACTATAGTTTTAGAGTTTTTAATTCTATCTAGTATAGAATGGAGTGATAGTATGAAGTTATGTGCACTTTTGAAAGCACAGGGACGATAGATGGCAAGGATCGCTACTTCTCTACCTATCTCAATAAGCAAGGAACTTGCTTCTACGATACCCGGTTCCGAAACAGTTACCCCCGGGAGTGAAGTATTGCAATAAACGACTACTCCATCATTTTGATTTACAGGATTAGAAGATGAGTAATAAGAAAAGTTTTTTAATGTTGGAATAAGGGGATCGGACTTGAGCCAACATTCTGTAAGTATAATAACATCTAGGTTAGTATTAAGACTATTCAAAAGTACATTAAAACTACACATATTGGCGGAGATGCTGCGTATATTCTGGGTAAGTAAGCATAATGTTCTATTTTGGTGTGTCAATAACGTTTGAACTTCGTTGTTAGTGATTTACAGACTGTGACATCGTCAATATTAATTAATAGGTCGGGATCACTAGTGAATTTTATATAATGATGTCATGGGTACAGCAATATTATACGTTGAGTCAATTACGCAAGGCGAGTGCATCAGTATTGAAAAAACGTAAATATAAAAATATTTAAGCATAACAGAATAGTTTATATGAAGATACATCAGTATGTACCTAATGAGTTGAGTTACAGTTATCCAATATGAATGTATAAAATAGACAAAATATTTGTACCTTATGGATGTGCAATGTTTGTATACTTGTGGCAAATTCTGAAGCGATGAAACAAACATAAACTTATTATCGAAATAATAATATAAAAAAAAATATTATCGAAGTACGAAATTAAAATAATATAAATCTGCGCTATTGTAGATACAATGTTATAAAGGTGAAATAAAATATAAAATAAGTTTAAAGTGACATAACGTATAACTAATGTATAAATTAGTTTTTTGACTGGAGCTCATTAAACTGAGATTCTGACGATAAAACAATGAACCTATCATTATCCTGCTTACGTAAAAGAATTTTCCCCTGTGCGGTCCAGCAATATTTATAGTTTTCTTGTTTCGCAAATTCACGAGCCCGGTGAAACAAACGTCGTGCACGAGGGGTTAAATTTTCAGCTATGAAAATCTGTTGGTGAGGTACTTCCGATCCCATGACTGAGGTATTTAGTCTGTTAGTGGGGTTAGTTTTATTGTATTCCCTGTAAGACCTAATAATACTGTTTTTCAGTATTACAGAATTCAATGTCACTAAAACGGTTTTATTTTCTGATTTTGAAGAAAAGTGACGTATATCAAATATGTCCGAGTGTGTAACCTCCACACAAATTGTTTTAAAGATAGGTGTCACTATCTGCATGAGGTCAGCTTGAGACGGATTCTTTGATATAGGTATATCACGTATCTCCAAAGTGCTGGAGTGGGAGTTCCTCTCAAGTTCTTCCGTCTTTTCTTCCATACGCAAAAAACGTTCCTCGTTCTCTATGGTTTTTGTTTGGAAACACATTAGTTGGTTGTGAATCTCGTCGTATTTTATTGATAAAAATTCGATTGATTTTTCGATCTCTGAGTTAGAAGTTAATAATTCATCATTTTGTTTTTTAATGACATTCATAGACTCCTGAATATTAGAAAGCATTGTATCCGTATCTTTTTTCCATATTGTAAGGGACTTTATAAAAGAGTCCAGTGTTGATTCTTCTAAGCCACTGCATTCGCAACGATGTCTTTTATTTGATCCGGACTATCGTCCTCCTTGACTTCACTCAGGTCAGGAGCGGATCCATAGGTATAACTTAGGCATATCTTGTTTATTCGCAGGTGATCGAATCATTCTTAATAAAACCAATTGACGCTTCAAAAAGTAGGCCTAAATATTCCGTCGGCAGAAGCGATCTTGTTCGTGTGCGTGCGTTGCAAACAGCACGTCTCAAGGACGGGTGAGCTCCGCCTCTCAAAAACTTGCTCCTGCGCTAATGGGCGGGACTTCGCGTAGCGAATCGCAGCAGGTGGCCTTGAAGGCGTTAAACTTTAAGTGCAAGGATGAAATGAGCAACAGTAAATTGTCACACTCACTCTGATGTAGGTATGTCCTTGTCCAACGGCTTTCACTATCGACAATTGTTGCGATCCTGGTAACGCACAGCAATTTAATTCATATTTAATTATTTCGAAAATATATATTTATACACTTGTTACTTCGAAACACGTCTGCCCATCAGGACATCCAAGGAGGGAGAGGTGATGAGCAGAATAGAAGAGCTAGATTCTGATTTTTTTTTCTCGCAGTCTTAATAAATAAATATTATTAAAAATTATGGTTTTTTTCTCAATCTTAGTAAATAAATGTTATTAAAAAAAACTGATGCTTTTTCTCACTTAATCTTACTTTTATTAAATAAAAACTTTTTGCTCCTATTTGGTTTGACTTGACAGCTATGACATCACAATATGGCGCCCAGTCGGTCCTATTCTTAGTTGAATCGCATTTATACACAGGTGCTGGTACGTCTGACATCAAGGTAGCACTATGGACCTCTGCAACAAAATGGATTTGGAAAGAAAAGCAATTGGGTAAAAGAAAAAACACTTTGGTTTTGCAAATGTATATATGTAAGAAGCAAATATTTACAGAACTGTACAATAATAATTGAGAGACCCAACTCTAACATCAATACATAAGACATAAATAAGACAAATAGGTACATCATAACATTTATTCATTCATCTTTAATAAATAAGACTCGTCATGTTAACGCCGGAATTTTAGAAAAAGCATAGTTTAATTGCTCGCTACTAATTACTGCGAAGAATTAATTATTGAAATAGGTAATAAATTAATAAATAACAAACACTATCGTTAGTCCTAAAAATTTCAAATAAGAAATTACACAACAATTATACCCGTGAATAGGACATGGAATTATTACACTCAAGGTAAGTACCACTTATGTTCAACTGTATAATACATTTTATTTTAATTAGTATTAAGACACTTAGGAAGGCTATCGTTTCTTGTTTTATTTATAATGTTGATGTTTGTACGTTGTGGTTTTTGTGCACAAAATGTACACGCGTGACAGAGTGTTAGTCCATTTTTGTGCAAGAAAGTCTCGACACTAATGGGAAACGCACTATTCGCAACTGATTAGCATAGTCGCATACTATGGCGTCCTTAAGCGGTAGTATTTGTCTCACGAAGATGCAACCGTCGCTCTGGCCTGTAAAACAAATAAGTAGATATAACTTTATGCGAAACATACTTAGATTAAAACAAAAAGGGAAGATACGCTCATACTAGCATCAAATAAAATATGCCCCGACTAAGCAACTCTCACACACGCACACATCTGTAAATAAACATTCAATCGAGCGAGCGGGAGAGAACTGTACCCCTAGCACGAACCAATATCGAATTCGTATCGTTTGAGAGTCCGAAATGTCATTGTCATATAATGGGTACTGATTTTTAGTTCTCGTTATGTCCTTTGTGTCGCTGATGTTCAAGTTTCCATACAAAATTTGACGATTACATTTCGGACTCGCAAACGATTTGAATTCGATATTGGTTAGTGCTAAGGGTACTGTACGCTTCAACGGAGCGTGAGCGAAACGGCGAGTCCGCGTCCGAGTCCGCAGGGCTGAGCTGTATTGTTGTCCTTTTCTTGATGGCAAAACGGCGATTACGTAAATCACATTCACGCCAAACCGTGTTTTTTTAGATTTTTTTTTTCAGTTATACATAATGAAGTGTTGCCGAAGCATTTGTTATTTGGTTTTGAACTATTTGTGTTCTTTATAAAAGCATCGAAGGCATTGTTTTATATTTATAATAACATACGCAATATTATTGTTATATTGAGTGTACATGCAGCGTGTTAGAATGTCCAATTGTGACTAAAGCTAATTATGGTCATGTACCAAAATTTAAGCGGATCACTTTTGAGCCGGGAATGCAGTATCTTCCATTTTTTTTTAATCTAAGGGAACAAAACAAGACATAATGGAAAATTTTATGATAAATTTTTCGACTTCTAATAACATATTAGGTATGTTACCCACATGATTGTGGAAATATTAAATTAAGTTCATTTTAGTTTAAATAACATTCTCAGCGTTATCTCCTCTGGGGCTGTAGGTTTTTATGAACGATCATTATTTATTTTAAAATTAGAATTCATTTCGGCTCGGCTGAGGGTACTTCTACGCGGTGCAAGTAGCTGGAGCAAGTAAAGATGTGGGTTACTCGCGTGAGTAATGTGCACCAGCTATTTGTGCAAGTTACTTGCTTGTTCTTTTTCATGGTGAAAATGACTGGAGCAAGTAAAGACACGGGCTACTTGCGCACGCAATACGCACAATATGAACCTGCCGCGTCGCGCTTGCGTACGTCAAATCTAAACCTGCTCAAGTATCATGCGCAAGTGACTTGCGCATTAGTTGCCCGGGTTTTGTTCGCTCTGGTACATGGTCGAGTCGCTCGACCCGCACATTTCTTTGTACGGAATTTACACTATGCTAAACTGCGCTAGTGCCTCAACATGCACAAGTTACTTGCACCTTGTAGAAACACCCTTGGCGATAGTCGCTGAGCATCAAATATACACTTATCAATCTACTACAAACAATCTGGAAGAGGGAAGAGTAATCAAAGATATTTTAAATTAAGAAATCGCGCCCTTTTTTTTATAACTTACCGAGCAAAACTCGCCGTATAACTTCTCCACTACTAAGGTCATAGACGGTGAGGCTGCTACGGTCTCCCATCACCAGCAAAGAGTGTGTAAGTGGTAGCAAACGGCTCATATAATTTAAACCCTGTTGAAAAAAATTTTTTTTAGGTTATCTCTTAAGTACAGATATGTAAGAAATCATTAGTGCAGTGTGCGTGGGTTAGCTGCGTACCAAAAGGTCATGTAATAGTTATTTATGCAACTTTTGTATAATGAGGGGTATTAAAACACGATTGTGGGTTGGAAAACAGACGAGGCGGAGCCGAGTGAGATAATAGTATCATATGAGGCCACAGGCTGAGTCCGGGGTCTCCTGGTGCGAAATTGGCTTCCGGCTACGTTGCAGTGAGATAGCATGCTGCATGTAGACAGACAATGGACTACTGGTTGTCAATCGACATCAGGACATATCCGTAGAAACCAGCTACTCAACATAGGCACTTGGAATGTTTGTCCTTTACTTCAAACAGGGAGAATGGAAATCCTATACCGAGAGACGTACAGATACGGTCTGTATGTGAGACTCGCATTAAGGACAGTGGACACACCCCTACTGCTTGCGCGAGCCTGTAGAAATACAGAGGGCCGACAATACAGACAACACAAACGCACACAAAACACCACGACGGAGACCGAAACCGAGGGGTGATCGTGGTCGGCGGACCGCTGCGGAGGCTCCCACTGCTCCTGAAAAGGAGCAGCCTGGGGCTGCGTGTGGCAGCTTCTACGAAGCGGCCACGACTGGACGACACGCAGTCTCCAAGGGGGGATGCCAAACGCGCGAAAACCGACGCGAAGACGAAGCGGACGGTGAGCTACGCAGATGCGAGTAAATCGCATCTGAGAGTAGCGGTCACCACCGTCCCGCCGAGGGACCTCTCGGCTGAGCAGGCGGAACAGCTGAAGGAGACCATCGACGATGGGATCCTGCAGGCAGTTCTGACTCCGCAGTCTCCAGATGCGCAGGCTCCAGCTTTCCGCGGGCGACCCTTCCTTTCGGACGGGGTGCTAGCGATGTGGTGTGAGGATGAGAACGCACTCAAGTGGCTTGAACAAATGGTGAAAACCATCCCGTCACCCATACAGAACACCACATTGACGGTCATTAGGCTGTCGGATGTGAAGAAGAAACTCAGAGCTGGGCTTCTTCTCCACACCCGCATCACTGAGTCTGCCACACTGCAGAAACTCCTTTGTGCCCAGAACCCCTGGTACAAGGTCGAGTCCTGGCAGTGCTACGACCTGACCGTGGATGACAAACCGGACAGCAGCTCTAAGGAGAAGGTGGTCCACCTGATCCTTGGAATACCCGAAGACCAAAAACCAGCAATACTGGACAGGGAACGCCGTGTTGCACACATGTCTGGCAGCGGATATATCCGCTTTTTCGCGACAGACGAAGCAACAGTGGTTGACCCAACAGTAGAAACACCGAGTGCTACTACAGAGCAGGAAGGCGCTGCGATCCCGACACCCACCACCTCAGCTCCCCAACCGGGTCCGAGCGCGATGGAAGAGGAAGCAGACCTGAGCTCTGAGGACAGCGTTAGCGACGAAGATAGCGTCCTTCGCAGTCCCTAGTAGCACCATCAGTATAATCTAGACCAATCTCCAGCACAAGCAGATAGCGGCGGCCACACTACGCAGAGTGCTGGAGACAAACAACATGACCGTCGCCCTGATTCAGGAACCCTGGATCAGAAATAATAGGATCTGCGGTCTGAACAACATCGGTGGTAAGTTACTTTTAAACACATCTGTCGATAAACCAAGGACATGTATTTTTACACCCAAGTCTATAAAAACAACCATGCTTAACCAATTCTGTTCTAGAGACCTCACAGCTGTGACGATCCCCACAGATAACCAAACAATCCTGGTACTAGCTTCAGTCTACATGCCGAATGAGGGGGAAATTCCTCCGAGGGAGCTGACCGAGCTGGTACGACACTGCGAGGACCACAAATGGGAGCTGATTGTAGCGGCAGACTGCAACGCACATCACTCACTGTGGGGAAGTAAGGACACAAACAAAAGGGGTGAGTTATTAACTGAATACTTATTCCAAACCAACCTTAACATCATGAACATTGGGACGGAGCCCACATTTGTTAGCTCTAGGTACCAAACTATCATAGATATAACACTAGCGACACACGCGGTGGCCAATCTAATCGAAGGATGGCACGTGTCAAACGAACCCTCCTTTGCAGACCACCGCAGGATATGTTTCCAATTACAATACAGACAAATAGACCCTGTTCCATATCGCAACCCCCGAAAAACAGATATAGCAAGGTACGTAGAACTAATAAATAAAACACTAAGCGAGATGCAAATACACGATGAAATCCCTGATATAAACAACATAGAAACAAACGTACAGTTCTTCACTTCAGCGCTTCTTAAAAGCTACGAACTGACGTGTCCTACCATCGTACCGAAAGGCCTGGGTAAAAGTTCCTGGTGGGGGCCAGAACTTGAGAAACTACGTAAGGAACTCAGGACACTTTTCAATCGAGCGAAAAACACCAGAACCAATGAGGACTGGGACAGATATAAAATAGCACAAAAACACTACAAGAAGCGGATCAGATTCCGGAGTAGAGAAGGATGGCGCGGTTTCTGTAGTAGTGTCAATTCAACAAATCAAGCTGCCAGACTCAAGAAAGTTCTGTCCAAGGACAACTCCAACCTCCTTGGATCTCTGAAAAGAGAAGACGGCACTTATACAAAAACAGAAGAAGAAGCCAATGCGGTGCTACTGGAAACCCACTTCCCAGGATGCCAACTGGCGCCAGGCCTGGAGTGGACGACTGAGCACCACAATGCACCAACAACCCAGGAATGGGACCTGGTAAAAACAATAGTAACGGCGGAAAAGATAGAATGGGCTCTAAAAAGCTTTCAACCATTTAAGTCAGCGGGACTAGATGGCATATTCCCGGCGCTACTACAATGGCAACTAGGTCAGGCAATTAGATACCTACAACCTATCTTTAGGGCCTGCCTGGCCTTCAAGTACATACCAAAACCATGGAGAGAGGCAAAAGTAGTCTTCCTACCGAAACCAGGCAAGGACGACTACACACAAGCCAAATCCTTCAGACCAATAAGCCTAACCTCTTTTCTCTTAAAAACATTGGAAAGACTGGTAGACCGACACCTTAGGGATGGAGCACTAAGTAAAGCTCCGCTGCACCCTCAACAACATGCCTACAGAAAAGGCAGATCAACAGAGTCGGCACTGCATTCAGTAGTCCACAAAATAGAGTCGGCAATCACAAATAAAATCTCAACACTGGCAGCCTTCATAGACATAGAAGGTGCGTTTGACAAAACGATGCACAACAGCATTAACCACGCCCTAAGAAAACTCAAAGTGGACCAAGTCACCAGAGGTTGGATCACCGAACTGGTTGGCAAAAGGGCGGTTCAGATAGTGGGGAACGCTACCACGCGTGCGAAGGTAGTCAGAGGATGCCCACAAGGGGGAGTCCTATCACCACTTCTCTGGAACATAGTAGTGGACAGTCTCATACGGAGTCTGAATGACAGAGGATACACTACTATTGGTTATGCGGACGACCTAACAATTCTGATAAATGGGAACGCTGAAAATGTCCTTTGCAAGGTTATGCGTTCAGCCCTTCAGATTGTGGAGAAATGGTGTGACGAACATCACTTGTCAGTAAACCCGAACAAGACAGAGCTAGTCCTTTTCACCAACAAAAGGAAGCTACCTGAACTACAGTTACCAAAACTGTTTAATACCAAACTCTCCCTATCAACACAAGTGAAATATCTGGGCATAATCCTTGATAACAAACTGAATTGGGCGAGTCATATTGATTTAAAAACAAAGAAGGCCTGCATAGCTTTTAATCAGTGTAGAAGACTAGTTGGCAAAAAGTGGGGTCTAAGTCCAAAGATCACCCTCTGGTTATACACAGCAGTCATCAGGCCCTCTATAACCTATGGTTCAGTTGTTTGGTGGCCCAGGACCCAACTGACCACAGTGAAATCCAAACTCCAAAGTCTACAACGCTTGGCGAGCGTAGCAGCAACCGGATGTATGAGAACAACTCCATCGGCTGCATTACCTCATGAATTTAAGACCATTGGACCTGGTCATACAAGAAGAGGCGAAAGCAGCAGCCTTGAGACTAAAATCTCTAGGATTATGGAGATTAAATACTGTAACAACACACTCCAATATTCTACAAAAGTGCACGAAGGAGATCCCACTCCTGGAGGCACCTATGGATAGAATATTAAGTCAACACGTCTTTGATCGAAGATACAATATCCAACTTACCGCGGAAAAGGCAGATTACTCCGGCGCCGGGGAAGTTAGGATATACACGGATGGCTCCAAAACCAACAGTGGCACTGGAGCCGGTGTCTTCTCAAACGACCTGAATATTAAAATATCTACAACCCTAGGCAAACAAAGTACAATCTTCCAGGCGGAATGTATTGGCATTACCAGAGCGGCACAGGCGGTTGCAGCCAGAGATATCAGAGAGTATAACATCAAGATCATCTCTGACAGTGCATCCGTGCTTCAAGCCCTACGTAGCAACACAATAAACTCTGTCCTAGTAATGGAGTGCCACAAGGCACTTCAATCCATTGCGGTTAACAACACGGTAACTCTGCAATGGATAAAAGGACACAGCAGCTCAATTGGAAATGACGCAGCAGACGAACTGGCTAAGAGGGGAGCAGACACAAAGATGTACGGTCCGGAGCCTTTGCTGCCCATACCTCAGGCCCAAATTAAAACGTGGCTGCGTGAAATAACTCATAAATCACACTTGATGGAGTGGAAAACAGGTGAAGGATGCCGGCAAACGAAAAACGCGGTTCCGGCGGTAAATAAAAGTTTTGCCCGCACCCTTACCAGACTAAATAGGGACAAACTTCGCAGGATTATAGGATCCCTGACTGGTCATTGTCCCCTGAACAAACACCTATATACAATGGGGGTTACAGACAGCCCCCTATGCAGAGGATGCATGGAGGCAGAAGAAACGCCACAGCATGTCATCATGGAATGCAGGAGTGTGGCCGACCAACGGGCACGACTTCTCCAGTCACCAGAATCGTTTCCGGAAGCTTGCAGCAGTCTATCAAGGCTGCTTTCCTTCTGGACCGATATAGGCTGGCTGGAGTAAGCGGGAATGTTTATGAGATACGCACAATGGTCCAATAATTAGGACTAAGTGCGGAAACCGCCCTGAAAAACTAAACTAAACTAAACACCCCTACTGCTAGCGGTAAACTGAGGATTACCTCTGGTAGCACTGATAACAGCTTTAGCGGGGTAGGGTTTCTGGTCTCTAAGAAAATTAAAGACAATATCTTAGGCTACGATGCGTTCAACGACAGGATTGCTAGATTTAAGCTTGCGGCTCATCCATATCCTCTCAATCTTATGCAGGTTTACGCGCCACTATCCATTCTTCGGACGATGAAATGTGCAACTTTTACGCTGATCTATCCACTGTATAACATTGTATTCCCAGTAAGGCACCCACTGTTCTCATGGGTGACCTAAATGCAAAGGTTGGCTATACATCGATAGATGATCACCTTAGGGTTGTTGTTGGCCAATAACGCATAGGCCGAAGAAATGAACATGGACAGCTTTTACTAGCTTTCTGAGCTGCTGCTGAGAATGGTTTTACGATAATGAATACTTGGTTCCAAGAACATGTCAGAAGATTATATACTTGGATATCTCCAGATAGGCACTACAAGACGCAGATTCATTACGTTCTAATGAGTACCAGGTGGAGATCTTGTTTAAAGCGTTAAAACCAGACCTGGAACTAGCGGTGGCAGTGACCGTCAACTGTTACATGCAAAGGTTAAAGTTTACCTGAAGTCGTTATAGAATTTACGGTCCCGAAAACCAAATAAGCTAGATCACACTGTGTTAACGAAATTCCATGAATCTTCTATCTGCATGCAGCGCCTCCTAAAATACTTCGGTAACGTGGCGAGGAGAAGCTCAGATAATTTCGAAAAGCTTCTGGTCGTAGGAAACGTGAAAGGCAAAAGGAGTAGGGGCAGGGCTCCATCCCGGTGGTTGGACATAGTTGAGGAAACCACGAATGGCAAAGGTTTCCATCCGCCTTGCAGAACACAGAACGGCCTGGAGATCGCTGGTGAAATGTGCTGCCCTGAAAGGTCACGACCATAAGCCATGAGGAAACGACGACGAAGAAGTCTTAAAGTTTAATTAATTCACACTCAAAAGTACTGCTGCCATTCCAGTATGAATCGGCGCTGAATGAAATGAAATGATGAAAGGATGTTTAGTTTCATGTGCGTAGATTTGTACTCACTATATGCAGGGAGTTGAGCATGTGGCCCTGGAATCGGTCCCAGATGCACAGTCGTTCGTCCGCGCCCGCAGACACTACGTATGAGGCGGTATACGCGAGTGACGTTACCGCGCCGTCGTGGGCTTGCGTGCTGTACAGGCACGCCCCTAACAATAAAAATAAATCATAATAACCATGTACCTATAAAGATTTTGGGGGCGATTTCATCCAGTTATTTTGGAGGAGTAAATACTGCTGTAATTTTTTTAGAAAGATAAAACGAATACGCCGATTCTACATACGAGGCGGTTAACGCCAGTGACGTCACCGCGCCGTCGTGGGCCTGCGTGCTGTACAGGCACACCCCTAACAATAAACAAAGGACCCACCACGGTTAAAATTTGTATGGAGGGTGGTAGACAGTCTCCGACAGACTCCAATTTTTATGACATGTAGTGCACATTATTGTAAAGTTAATGTAATAAAGTAAATCAAAATAAAAAATAAGTAATTAGTTTGTCAAAATACCAAATTTATGTTATCCCCGTTTTTTGCTATAATTATTATAATATAAAATGTATATGTTATTGATTGAAAAATGGCAAGTGTATTTATATATTTGTTTTTATCAAAGCATCAAATATATTATATTGAATAGGTAACTAAAGCAATGATAATCATTCTGTTACTCTTTCTTACATTATTAGGTATTTTTAATTAAATTGGTATAATAAGTTCACCACAATTTCACGAATATCATGCATGACTGGACTGATTGACATTTAACATAGTGATTGAGATGACAATTTAAGCTGCCTCATACTAAAAATATGACGTGACTTATGACTGGGTTGCCAAAATCCTTACGAAATTGTTCAGACACGAATGAAAATTAATCGGGGATATTAAAAAAAATATCTGTTCATATTATAATGTAAAATAAGCTTTCAAATGATATATGTTTTATAGCTGCCGGACACCGACTACCCGTTTTGAACTGTTTCCTTTATTGAGAATGTGATTGTGAATCTTATATTAATCAATCAAGCAAGCAACTCTTGAGACCCGCTTGCAGCAAAGGCAAGCCTCTATTTAACTAAAACTGGATATTATCTCATACAAAACTGACAAATTGACATCGTCACATTGATGTATGGATTAAATCTAGTTTTAGTTATATAGAGATTTAGCCCAAAACGTTCAGTCCTAATCTAATATTTGTCTACTTAACCCAGACATTGGCAGAATCGTCACGTCATGAGAAGGCAGCCATCATCACCAAAAATTTAATTGAGAGATTTAGCAAATTTTATTAACTATTCTTGCTTGAAAGGTACAAACCCCGTAAAGTTGTTGTAAACGTTTAAAATAATGTTTTTTTTAAGTATAATATAAATTGTACCTGTGTGTAGGTCCCATACACAGAGTAGGCCATCCTGAGACCCACTGCCAGCTATAATAGGAGTAGCATGATCTATAAAGCAGCTGGTCACTGGACCACAGTGACCGTGCAGTGTAAACAATGCACTAAGATCGGTGCTCGAAAATACCTGTGAACAAAGGACATGTTATATGTTTGTATCGAGGCTGGGTTATTGCAGTGAACAGAAAGGAAATGATATATTTATGAAAGAACAAAAAACATACATCTTTTGCATTATTAAATTATATTTTTTGAAAGCATTCTTTTTAATCACATTTATACAGCCAGCAACTTATGTGTTGATATCTTGTTATGTACTTTTACGGCAAAACCGCTATGTCGCGTTTCGGATATTTAAATTCCCCACAGATTTTTCGCACTATTCAATAATTAATTTCTTTCAGAAAAACAAATAAAAAAAAATTGTGTGTGTCAGCTCCGACGCACGACTGGAGTTTACTCCTTAAGTTCGATAGTCTAACCAGACGCAAAAAGAGTTTATTTAACTTAAAAAAGATTGATACTGTATGAAAGGGTAAATTAACAAATTAATGAAAATAATATACATATATAAATATATATTTATTAATTTCATATACATTTATTATAACTAATCGACAAAATATTTTACATTAAACTTTTTACAATAGTCAATTTCAGATGTGCATAAATAAAGGTACGCTACGATACTGTGCTACGGTGTAGCACTACGGCTGCTACAGCGTAGACAGTAAAAACGTAACGAGGTCATTCATCGATAGATTTCACTCCTCACATTTTACTCATACCGGGCCCCTTATATATGCAAATCGATTCTTAAGGAGTAAACTCCAAAAAACGTTAAGATTTTATTTATTTTTTAAGCATTTAACTGCTAGATGTTTAAATCTAGAAGAAATAGCTATTTATTTTTTATTCTTTTTTCTAGTAAACTTTTCTTTAGATTTAAACATCTAGCAGTTAAATGCTTAAAAAATAAATAAAATCATAACTATAATTACTATTTCTTCTTTCAAATGTTTAATACTTGAAAAAGTATTCATTTGACATTGTGGGTTGCCTACAATGCGAAGAGATGGCGCTGCCTTGCAGCTTAAGGCTAGGAAAATTTCGACGCGGCTAATAGGGCCGTGGTAGCATAATGGTCAGTGCATTCGCCCGGATAGCGAAGGATGCGGGTTCGAGTCCCGTCCGCTGCCTCGTCCTCGTGGATTTTTTCTAGTAAACTTTTCTTTAATAGAGTTAACATAAAAAAATATTACGTTTATTTAAATTTCACGCATATTCCCTATTGTGTCTAGAGATAGCGGCAAGATTAAGCGAGAAAAGGCAACAGACAGACAGATACACTTTGTCATTTATAATATTAATATGGATATCCGTTACGTTAAGCTCATCAGTGTGAGTCTTAGAAATATCAATTTATTGTTTTTCCATAACTTAATTCTCGGCAAGATAGACAGTAATGAGCTTCTATCATTGGTTAAAATGCATTTACTCTTCTTAATAATTTAGACTTATACTTTTGCTTTTATCTTGTTGTACATGTGAAAACTGTGTAAGGCTTACTAATACTACATAATTTTGTTTTATCCTCTGCTATGACGTATTGTATGTCTATGAATAAATCCTAACTAATTTTATAAAAGCGAAAGCGAGTTTGTGTGTTTGTTTGTTACGCTTTCACACCTAAACCACTGAACGTATTTGGATGAAATTTGTTACGCATATAGTTTATGACCTGGATTAAGACAAAGCATACTTTTTTTCCCGAAAAATATAAGGTTACCAAGGGATTTAAAAAAAACAACGTTAACGCGGGCGGCCGCTAGTAAATAAATAAATAAAGCAGAGGAGCTCGATGGCGCCAGTGGTTAGCGCGTTCGGCATTGATCGTTGAATTTAAGCAACCTTCGCAGTGGTCAGTCTTTGGATGGGTGACCAAAAATTTACTATCTCGAGCTCCTCCGTGCTTCGGAAGGTACGTTAAGCCATTGGTCCCGGCTACATCTGTAGTCGTCAGCACCCGCCAAACCGCACTGGGCCCGCATGGTGGGTCATGGCCCAATCTCTCTATTCCATCCATAGGGAAGGCCTGTCCCCCAACAGTGGGGACATTAATAGGTTGATGATGATGATTGTTAAATACCTTGAGCACATGGTCCTGGCCGCCGGTGAGGATGCGCTCCCCCTCTGATTGCATCTCTGTGATAGGCTGCTGGTGCGGTCTACACTGGGCCACACGCACGCACACCACCTCTGTACCAACAGAAAAGGATACATTATTATTCATCAGCCACACGGTTGCAATTTTTTTTACGGAGAATTATCAGATTACTATCCGATAGTTAAGTCAATGGGATATCCTCGTCACCTGAGTTAGAAACTGTATTTTCAATGCATTTGCTCGGAAATTGTACTTTTAAATGTATACACAAGTTTTATTCAGCCAGTAGAGAAGGCCCCCCAAAATTATACAACTGTCAAAAGTGTGAATCATCATATCCTACTCGGATATTACACTAAAGCAGGGGTCTCTAAACTTTGAAGCCTTAGGGCCATAATATTTCTTTCGGTATGTTTCAAGAGCCAAAACAATTTTAATTTTTCTGCCTACCTAACTAAGCAAATAGGCTTTTATGCATATCAGATTCCATTTTTTGCAAAACAATCAAATCAAAACCATTGATTTTGTATTCAGTATATTATGACACATATGGACATCTAGTGGCGAGTAGTGATACTATGCAGGTACTATCTATTTCTGCTACCCACTAACAGGTGGTATATTTGGGAATTTCTGCATTGGTTCTAGAAAGTTCTGGTCCTGACTAGTTTTTTCGATCACTTCTAGAAGGCAGTAATTGCATATAAAAAGGCTAGCGGCACCATTGCGAGTCAAATCGTCTCCGACTCCTCCCACACAGGCCACAAACACCAACACTACACAGCTAGCATACTTGCACACTAATTTAGCATTAGGCAGACACCGCACCCGTAATAGACAGTGAATGTTTTGCATTCACTGTCTATTTTCCAAGATAAATGGAACTTTCAGTATTTTGTGATTGAGTGCAATAATAAGGCGCTGACTAATTTGTAATGAAACCATTATCTGTTCTCAAAGAATATAACATTAAACGTCATTATGAATCGAAACATCTTCAAAATTACTCTAAATATACAGGAAGTTTGCGGTCGGAAAAAATTTAAGTTTTGAAGCGCGGACTGAAAATATTTAGCCACACTACAGAGAATGAATTTCCCGTCGATTTTGCAGTCGAAACTTTGAGTGATTTAAAGATAAATTTCGATGCTCGTTTCTCAGACTTTGATGTCATTGCGAATGAAATTAAGCTTTTTCAGAATCCTTTTGATTCTGACGTTGAAACCCTGGCTCCGGAAGTCAAAATGGAAGTTATTAATTTACAGTGCAGTGAAAAGTTTAAGAACAAATATCAAAAGTTATTATAACGAAGCTATTCAGCAATGTGAACTTAAGACTACATAATTTGTGCCCATTTAAGCAGTGTAGTAGCTGAATAGTATGCAGCCTTTATTCAGTAACTTTATTCAGCTTTAACACAAGAATCCTCTTATTCATGTAGTATTCAGCCTCTTTGTGTTACTTGGGTATTGTAAATCCTACGTCTCAGCTTACGTTCGTCTACTCGTTTGTAATAACCAACTTACCGCACTTATACCATAAAAAATTATTACCTTCTGTGTCTATCAGCTCTGTGTTGTAAGGATAACTCATTCTGGGAGAGTTGTCACCGCACTGAACGCTATGCAGGGAACCCGCAGAGCCTGTGCGTTTGTGTGCTGTACGAAATAAATATTAAAGTAAGTACAAAGTCGCGATTTAACAATTCATAAGCCGTTTGGAGTAGTCTAGGACTATCCCTTATTTCCTCGGGATGGGAAAAGTCTACTGGAGGACTTGTGGTGAGGGAGAATGATGGGGAGAACTACGCAAGCAAATGTCTGCGTTACACAAGTTCCTAATTTAACTGATCCCTTTATAGAGTGCGATTATAAATTTTTAGCAGTGGAAATTGGGAATAGGGACAAGAGCAACAGGGAATTTGCATGTAATTCAAATAAGACAGATTTTTTTATTATTTATATTTTCCATTATTAACTATGTACTTGTTTGTTTTGTTGCTAGGTTGCCATGGACGGCGACGTCACACCAAGAGTTCCAAGATAGTGAGCTTTTTAATGCCCGTGCAATTTTTTAGACACATTCAGTACACAATGTTTTCGACGTTAAGTTAAATATTGTTATACAAAATTAAGATCCCTTTCACATTTTTTGCAAAATATCGTAATTTTTGAGCGCCTCGTTTACACCCTTAGAAAAGATTTTGACTATTTCCAATAGAAGTAAACAGTAGATTTCTTCTTTCTATTGTAAGTTAATGTAGAATATTTGCAAATACTATTTTCCTTGTTTTGTACTGATCGTTCTACTGCAGCTAGTTTACGGAAAAAACGATAATATGCACATCTTCAAACGCCTTAATCTCTCAATAATGTTCAATAAATTAGATCAAATTAATTAATACGACATCAGAAATATGTTCTTGTTGTAACATAATGTATTAGAATTTTGATTTTCCATCTCATTAATTATAAAAAAAACATCTAACCTCCGTGAGTTTTCCCAATAAATATTGCAGGTTTACTTCGTATTTTGATATTGAATTAAATAGAATTACATCAAAAACTTTTATAAAACTAATCTACCATCATTGAACTACTGAAATATGTATATATTTTTAAAATTAGATCATTAATAATTATTTTATAAGACTCGAAACATCATCCGTAAAATGCAATATATACTAGTGAAAATCTACCTACGCGCCGATCAGTACGGCAGCAGCGCAATTTTGTAATAGGGCTCTTAAGGGAATGTTAACTATGAAATTAAATATAAATATAATCATGCATATTTCAAATTCTGCAAAGATTTCAGTCAGTGAAACGTATGGAATAAACCAGCGCGCATTCTTATTTCGTTTACTGCGCCGTCACTTACGCCAACTGAACAGTTGCTATTAAGTTTGAATCACGTTATAGTTAGGGGCATCACCATCCTTGCTTCGCGAAGCACGTTAAGCCATCAGTCTCGGCTTCATTGCACAAGATCTGCATAGTGGGTCATGGCCCAATCTCATGGATCCATCCAGCCGCAGCGTCAACTGGGCGTCCAGCGATACGGTGAACACGCGGCGGACAGTAATAGGCCGATGATGACGAGGAGCTCGATGCCGTAAGTGGTTAGTGCGTTCGGCTGCGATCGTTGAAGTTAAGCAACTTTCGCAGTGGTCGGTCATAGGATGGGTGACCAAAATTTTACTATCTCGATCTCCCCCGTGCTTCAGAAGGCACGCTAAGCCGTTGGTCTTGGCTGGATCTGTAGTAGTTAGCACTCACCTATCCGCACTGGGCTCGCGGGGTGGGTCATGGCCCAATCTCCCTATGCTATCCATAGGGAAGGCCTGTGCCCTAGCAGTGGGGACATTAATAGACTGATGATGGTGATGAATATAAATACTTACTCCGCCGGTGCGCGGTGCTGAACCGCCAGTCGACGAGCGCGCCTGAGGCGGCGTTGTGAGCGTCCAGCCGCAGCAATGTCAGCTGGCCGCCCAGCGACGCAGCGCACACGCGGCGTGCGCCAGACAACGCGCGCACGTGCGTCACCCCGTGCGACTTACCGCCGCTCCACCATATACACTACAAGGGTCAACAATGAACAATTTTACGGCTACACTTAGATAAGTATAATATACTAAGTATAAGATTAAGCTTTTGGCTTAAGTTGGTGCTGTCACTATCTATGCGATAACAATATAATGAGCCAAAACGTGACTTAATACAGGGTGGTCCAATTAGTGATGTCAACAATTTTTTTTAGATTCCTCGCACCTGGGGGTATCCGAAAATACCCATGTATGTTCCGCGATTTTTCTTAGCTTTCGAGTTATAATTTTTTTTGTGTATTTTTAATGATTTCTGCCAGGGAGTTTTCAAAAATTCATATCTTTTTTCGTAGTAGGTATTTTGCAGTCCTTTTTTTGTGACATAATTGTCTTGAATGATGTTTTAATTTAAAAAAAAACAGCTTCCTGAAATTACTTGTAACTGATAAGTGGCTTTCAAATAAACCTTAACTTTTAGCTATCAAACTAAGCAATTAATATTTTACTTACCATTAGCTTGCCTGAGCTGGCTTCCCAGAACTCAATTCTGCCGTCAGCACAACCCAGTATGATGAGGTCATTGCAAAAGTCCATGCACCAAACGGGAGATTCTGTAATCGGTGCTCCCTTGCAGTCAGAGTTCGTCACTTCCTCACAGTTCACTACACTGTCGGTTCTGTTGTCGACACTACTGCCACTCACTAACCTACCCTTACTTTGATTCCGTAAATGGTTAACTTCACTATCACACACACTCGATGACAACATATTATTATCACATTTGTCACTTTCTTTGTCAGTTTTTACACTTGTATCTGTTTGCCCATGGCTCTGTATGTTCAAATTACTAGTATCCACATTTTCCTTTGCTTCGTAACAGTTATAAATGTCCTGTGATTGTTTGCTGCAATATAAATCCCTGAAACACAACAGCCAATTGAATAATCCTACTAATATTATAAATATGTAACTTTGTTTGTTACTCAATCACGCAAAAACTACAGAACTGGGGGTCTACTCTCTTTCACCGAAACGAACTTTCTATAACGAACTTCAAACGAAATTTAATTTCGTCAATTTAAGGTCATACTTAATTTGAACGATAAACTATCAAATTGAAGCTTCCTTTGAGTAGGGTTAGAAAATCTACACCTTAATCTATATTACGACGACGAATATTATTATAATTAAAAACAAACCAGAAAAATAGTAAAAAAAGTGCGAAGTTTCGATCGAAATTTCGTTTTTCGATGAATTGGAATAGGACTCCTGATTTTGATGATATTTGGTATACATATAGTTTACGAGCTGACCCAGCTAACTTCGTACCGCCATAAAAATAGGGGCTGGTGGTAGAAGGGTGAAAATTTAGGGTTATGTATTTTTAATGACACATTATAAAAAAAATGACAGAAAAAATATGTTAGAAAAAAAATCCACGCGGACCAGGACGCAGACGGGACTCGAACCCGCACCCTTCGCAATCCGGGCGAATGCACTGACCAATTATGCTACCGCGGCCCTCACGGACTGCGTCGAAATTCTTCTAGCCATTCTTAAGCTGCAAGGCAGCGCCATCTCTTAGCATTATAGGTAACCCACAATGTCAAATGAATACTTTTACAAGTATTAAACATTTGAAAGAAGAAATAGCAATTATAGTATTAATTTTTTTTATTATTTTAAAGCATGTAACTGCTTGATGTTTAAATCTAAAGAAAATATAACTAGAAAAAAATCCACGCGGACCAGGCAGCAGACGGGACTCGAACCCGCACCCTTCGCAATCCGGGCGAATGCACTGACCAATTATGCTACCGCGGCCCTCACGGACCGCGTCGCAATTCTTCTAGCCATTCTTAAGCTGCAAGGCAGCGCCATCTCTTCGCATTATAGGTAACCCACAATGTCAAATGAATACTTTTACAAGTATTAAACATTTGAAAGAAGAATTAGCAATTATAGTATTAATTTTTTTATTATTTTAAAGCATGTAACTGCTTGATGTTTAAATCTAAAGAAAATATAACTAGAAAAAAAATCCACGCGGACCAGGCAGCAGACGGGACTCGAACCCGCACCCTTCGCAATCCGGGCGAATGCACTGACCAATTATGCTACCGCGGCCCTCACGGACCGCGTCGAAATTCTTCTAGCCATTCTTAAGCTGCAAGGCAGCGCCATCTCTTCGCATTATAGGTAACCCACAATGTCAAATGAATACTTTTACAAGTATTAAACATTTGAAAGAAGAAATAGCAATTATAGTATTAATTTTTTTTAATTATTTTAAAGCATGTAACTGCTTGATGTTTAAATCTAAAGAAAATATAACTAGAAAAAAATCCACGCGGACCAGGCAGCAGACGGGACTCGAACCCGCACCCTTCACAATCCGGGCGAATGCACTGACCAATTATGCTACCGCGGCCCTCACGATTTAGATTCTTTAGATTTAAACATCAAGCAGTTACATGCTTTAAAATAATAAAAAAATTTGAAATATGTTAGGTGTGGACAACCCTTATCACTTAGGGGTATAAAAAATAGATAGTAGCCGATTCTCAGACTTACTGACTATGCATATAAAATTTCATAAAAAATGGTCAAGCCGTTTCGGAGGAGTATGGTAACTAACATTGTGACACGAGAATTTTATGTATAACACTAGCTGACCCAGCGAACTTCGTACCGCCATAAAAATAAGGGTTGGTGGTAGAGGGTTGAAAATTCAGGGTTATATGTATTTACTAATGCTGTATCATAAAAAAATTAAAAAAAAATATCTAAAATTGAAAAAAAAATTAAGGGTGGATTACCCTTAACATTTAGGGGGATGAAAAATAGATGTTGTCCGATTCTCAGACCTACCCAATATGCACACAAAATTTCATGAGAATCGGGAAAGCCGTTTCGGAGGAGTTTAACCACAAACACCGCGACACGAGAATTTTATACATTAGATGATCCATATTAAGATATCCTGGAAGAATATTAAGTTCCTCTGGGATTCTCAAAAAAATGAATGGAGATACAAAACTACACCTTTCTACTATAATCTGTACCATTTAAGTATCTTTTCCCATGTTACATCATCGCGGTTGGACGCTATCGAATAAATAATTATGCTTACCTATAGTTTTTCGCGAAGTCATATTTAGTAGTTTCGGCAACGGATAAGTGAGGGGGCGGTTGTCCAGACATTGTGCGAAACCTCAGTCCGCTCAAATGATCGTTCAGCCTTTTGCGTAATCTCGGTATAGACTGCAATATAAAGGCCAAATTAGAATTTCATTTCAGTTTTTACAACAAAACATAACTACTGTATTTAAGCATTTAAGTTTAGTAGCGGATTCAATTACGGACTCATTTCTAGATTACTATACTATGTTTTTACTTGTGAATTAGCACAATTTACATAGTAGTAGTATAGTTTTTTTTATTACATGATTTTAATTCAAGGCAATTAGACAAGCCTCTATTAATAATATATATTTTATAATTTTTGTATTCATAATAGATATCATGGGGGTGTAGTAGAAGCTAATGAATACTTACAGTAAATATTTCGTCATATTGACCTTTCAATAAACCCACATACCCCAAACATTTATTACAGATGATTTAACAGTTTATTTTGTTGAATTAAAACAATCCTACATAATTTCGCATTTAAATACACAGAGCTACAGGGTTTACAAAATAACGGGACAACTGCAAAAGTACTAATTGGCTGACGGGTCTTATCATTATTAATAAGTACATATATAAAGATAGGTCATTTAAATTTAAGTGCATTAATGATGATGCTTTAGATGTTATTAAAGGATATTTAACTTAATTCGCTTCATGCCATTGCACCAACTGTCCCATTATTTTGTACATCTTGTATAATAAACTGACCTCTTTTTGTTGCGGAGACACATTTTCGTGATAAATTTCTGTAAAACAAATAAGACAAATGAACTATGATACTAAATTGAGTGATTAAAAAATATTTTACCAGTTGGCAAATTTTTAAACTGGTTTATTGCTAGCTAATATTAATTACAAACCAATACCATCCAATCTCGTTCGCAATAGCATTTTATAAATACCTATGACATAGTTATGGAAATAGTGTGTACCCAAATTTAGATAGGTATTAAAATTGGATAAGTTTAGTAAGATTGTTTGAGTTGACCTCCACAGTGGAAGTGAACTACCGAAAGTGAATTTCAGATGATTTGGGAGTCTTCAACTTCTAAACTTCAATGTACTTAAAAGCTAACCCTTACCTATTTTTACCGCAATACGTACATACATACATAGAATCAAAAGTTACAAATGACAAAATCACAGAACATCAAACGTACTGTGTATTATTTCAACATCCTAATAGACATATACCTACCAATATAAATATGAAATTACTTACCTTCAATAGTGTCTGTGCATTCGATTTTTTTCGAATTAACTTTGCTGTAGAGTTCGTTTTGTAATTTGAAAAATCTGCAATTTAAAAGAGAGTTCGGTGTTACTACAATATAGTGAACAGAATATAGTAGTGGCTTTAAATATGGAAAATAATTTGTAAAATGCAATAAATGAGACAAGAAACTAACCTAGGATCTGTCCAAAGTACGCAACTCTGACCTATGATCTGTCCAAAGTGCAAGGACAGTTTATATTAATCATCAAAACAAAGATGAAGGTAAATATGACCATTACGTTGAAATAAGCTTTACGACCCATCTTGATGTATAATTAAAACAAAGTCTTGGTGACCTTGACTGCTTTAAGATAGTCACAAATAGTAGATTATGAAATTTTTTTATAGTACTCTGTACCCAAGTTTTTACTTATATATCATGTAACGTTCGTTTGTAATTAAGCTGCATCTATAATAAATTAAAATTTATATCTAAAAACTCCAACTAAAGACCTTTAAAAACAAAAGGCTAGGGATTATAGTGCGGCATGTACCAATGTTCCACTAGCCATAATTGCAGCTGGAGTATCCAAACACTTAAAATCAGATGATGATATTAATTTGGTAGGCAAAACAAAGTCATTGTTTGGTTCGTAAGGCTGTTCTTATATTACGAACCTTGTAGACTTTATTTCCAACTTTATCTGGGAGCAGTCAACGAAACGTTTGCGCATAATTGCGCTTGCTGCTAACTTAGCAATCGGCATAGTGTGAATCGCACTATACTTTATTTTTACAAGCATCCGATATTTTGGCACTGTGACAAGTGATCACGGAGTCGAAATATGAGACACGCAAAAAATTGGTTAAATTAATAATTATAAACGTGTAGCTTTGTCTGTCTTACTGATAAGATTTCACACTTAAACCGCTGAACTTGGTAGCGTTGATATTTATAGAGATAAAAGACTTTAAAAGCGGAAACAAGCTTCTTTTTGAGGAAAAACAAACAGTATTAACTCTACTATTTTAACAAGTGACATAAACATATATTAAATATTCGCATGCCTTCTCTCATTACTCTGTCAATATTATACCGCAAATCCTAAATAGCTGAGATACAGAAAACCTCGGGGATTTCCCAACAATGTATTTATATTTCTTGTTAGTAGTTTTCGTATAACAGCTTTCGACCCACAAAACGAAAAGATCAAGACATCTCTTTCCGTGCTCAATCTCAATCAATCAAAAAAATTGTTCAGTTACAACACAGAGCCTGATCTAGCCTTAACAGAGCTAAGGTAAGGATTATTTCACAAAATCAAGGGCACTAGCCAGTTATATATACCTCATCATCAGTATTAATGTCCTCACTGCTGGGGCACATGCCTTCTCTATGGATGAAATAGGGAGATTGGGCCATGATCCACCACGCGGGCCCAGTGCGGATTGGCGGGTGCTAACGATTGCAGATGCAGCTGGGACCAACGACTTAACGTGCCTTCCGAAGCACGGAGGAGCTCAGTAAATTTTAGGTCACCCATCCAATCACCGGACACTGCGAAAGTTGCTAAACTTCAACGATCGCAGCCGAACGCGCTAACCACTTGCGCCATCGAGCTCCTCTATATATGTTCTCTACCTATGTTCGGTCATATGATATGTTTGGTCATATACCCATGTATGGTCATGTAATATGTTTTGTTACTTACGAGCAACGGTCTATATTGGTGAGGATCTCCCCATTCTGCGAGTCCCAAACCTTGATGTTGCCCTGCAGGCACGAGCTGACTACCTTCTCCCCGTCGGTCACGAGGCATTCCACTTCTTGCACGTGCCCTGCCACTACTAAGGGGACCGCCTCCATCACCAACTAGTTATCCCAAACGTGCAGAATATAAATTAATCTTAATATTATAAATGTAAATCTGTGTCTGTCTATTACTCTTCGCATTTAAACTTCTGAACCGATTTAGATTAAATTTAGTAAAGAGATAGTTTTAGTCCCGTAAAGGATTTTATTCTAGCAATCACGCTTTGGATGAAAATGGCGGTAGATTTTTTTATGGGAAACCAATTTTTCCACGTCGAAGTATGAAGCGATTTTGAAATTTAAACAATGAAAATATTTTTATCGACTGTGTTATATGTATTTTGATATGCCAACATGACTATTCTTCGCTTTCAACATAAACATGTCTTTTCATTTCATCTACCAGGTCCACAAAGCGTTTTTCACTATAAAAATTCAACTAACAAAGAAAAGTTAATCTTCTTTCATAATAAATATCGCTTATGGTTTTAAAATTATATTTAAGAAAATTGTTAAATGCGACAATTTTAGTAGACTACAATCAAAATCATAATTTATACAATCATAATGTAACCAATGCAAGAGTGAATGATTAAATATAGTTTTTACTTTAATAAATTAGGTCTAATGAAGAATTTGCATTAAAGAGAAGCAACAATGTGAAATGTTAATATTTCAGTATGATTCGAATTTCTAAAGAGATATTAAATACTATTTTCATCCCACCACCTCGGAAAGTGTAATTTTGCGCTTCGAAATCTGGCTGGAAAATTCTATTTTATTCGCTTGAGCGGCAAAGTAGATTTGAATTTAGAACATCACATATAATGAGTACTCAATATAATTGTAAATTCAAAACGTCATTAAACCTATTTAATGTAACCTCTATGGTGCCAAATTTATGATTAGAACTTTTTAAATTGTGAAAAAATTTAAATTTGGAACCTTCTTGGTTTCTTTGTTTTATTTGCGTGCTTCGCGCCATTCTAGTTTTTCACGTTTTATTGCTTAAATATTTTGTCATTATAAATTGTTTTCTTTTTCATTTTGTCATTTCCTCGCTGAGGTGGGATGAAAAGTTACGTATTGCACTCGAGTGGAAAGATTTTTCACCTTGTGCTCGTTTGTTTCCTTCGCTTGCTCGGTCATCCAAATCGAGCACGCGGTTAAAAAGGAACTTTCCACTCTTGTATAATAAATAACTATTTGAAAGCAGAATGCATCTTCTACTAGATTAACATACCTGCACCGCCGGTTGTTTTGCAATGATCTTTCTGTATTCATTGTCTTCGTTCCACGAGGCGCGCCATTCCGCGTAATGTCGAGAGCACACACATCTGCGTAATTCATAAGCGTTTCAAATACCTATTACTACTAAATCGACCAAAATTTGTACACCTTGTTCAAGATAAACATTAAAATTATTAAAATGTCCTATAAGGCTACAATTTATGTAGGTATATTCATATTTTATTATAAAACAAGAAAGGCTGCATTTCAGTTAATAACCAAGGTTTAATAATGGCAAAATGCTATAAGTTCATTGCTATTGTTAAAGTCTGCTTAATGATAAAAGCGAAATTATTTAATTAAACCAGGTTTTGTGTAAATAAGTATAAAGGGGACTAAATTATAGGTCATCTGTGAAAATTTAAAAAAAATAAAAGTTGTTTTAAGGGGCCCTTACCTATATAGAACGACCATCATATAGGCGATGACAGCGACGCTGATGGTACAGAGGATAGCTAGAAGTAAAATCTCCATGGGCGTCGTCGGGTAAATCGGCAGCTCTGAGCCCTGGCTCCAGTGATGTGATTGGCTCTTTGCCTCGATCAACTCGAAATCTGTCAGGAGAGCATAAATAACTAGTAGGTTGCCGCGGTTTCATCTGTGTGAAATATTGGTTTCCATACAAACTTTTACCCGCCTTTTTACCCCCTTCAAAGATGATTTCTGGACTTAAACTATCTGTATATGAAATTCCATATAAATTGGTTTGGCATTATAAGCGTGAAGTGGTTACAAAGAGACAGACAAACTTTCGAATTTATAAGGATAGCGTACCTCAAAGACGATGTGACATAGCGCATTTGTTGGTTGAATTGGAGATGGTGTTGCGTTTCGATGTAAATTTTAGGCGGTAAGGTTTCAGGGTTCAACAAGGTGGGGATTAGGGCCAGGTTAGGCACCCCGCTATTGTAACTGGATCGATTATAACCAAGCAGGCCCCAAGCTTGAGTGCCAGCCTTTTTACTTAAAAAGAGAAAGGCAGGCCATCGTCTTTTTATTACGATCAGTCCCTGTAGCAAGAGCACCACAATATACATTATATCACGATTTTTACCGCGTCTAACTGTCAAACTCCATAGTAATTAGAATTGAGCGTGCTAATAACGAGATATATATCATATCACGGGTAGGTTTTTAATGTCCACATGTCTGCTGCAGCATAAGCCTACCCTAAAGAGCGTATCACATAGATAAGTGCGGATAGATGAGTGCTAATGACTGCTGCGTCTGAACTTTTAACTTTGACTGAGGACATTCATGATCGTCATCGCCGTCCATTAAAGGTTCGAGATGACAAAATCTTGGTCACACCTGTTGTGTCACTTCTATAATACCAACTGCAGTGGTTAGAGCGCTCAGCCTGGAGCTCCTTGTTGACATCATCGTCTGTTCATGCTATACATTTTATGATACACCGTACTGGTAAAATTTATCTTATTTCCTAATTATATTCTTTGGGGTATGAAGAGGAAGAAAAAGTTAAAATAATCTTTTAGCGCAGTAGCAGTAGTGTACCGCTGCAGCCAGCTTCATCACCAGGTAAGGTGCCATCCATAAATTACGTCACACGTTAAGGGGGAGGGAGGGGGTCGACGAAGTGTGACATCGTGTAACAAAGAGGTGGGAGAGGTCCTAAATTACGTGACGTCACATTTCAAAATCTATTAAAATTTTAGTGTTGAAACTATTACTTTAAGAAAACATTAACAACCCAAACGAGAACAAAGTGGTGCTATGGCAGTTATAAATAATTTAAAGGTGTGGGTTCAATGTCCATGGACTCAAGATTATGAAGTTTGTATCTTTAATTTAAGTATAATACTTTTAATTTTTTTTGTTTTGTTAATTTCTTTAATCAATATAATTTATAATAAATAAATAATAAAATTTTATTTTAACAAACAATTAGTACAAAAATAACAACTTAAAGGTACAATTTTAGCTTAGGTATAACAAAACATGCGCCTGAACTAAGAAAATCTTGTGTTTCAGGCGGAAACGGGCGATTAATTTCTATTAAAATAACATGTGTATTTATTTATGGTAAATTACAGTAAATTTGGTAAAACATTACACATATAACTAACTTAAAACTTATATTTTATAGTTACTTATAATTTATAGTTTCTTGTTTTGTTAATTGTCTGATTTGATGTTAATATTATTAAAAAAAAACAATTTAAATGGAAATAAAACTGATTTCAGAACCGCTGTTTTCATTCAATAATTTCTAAATATAATTTTGCAAAATATGTGAAGTCACACTAGAGAGGGGAGGAGTCGCACAAATGTGACCAGTTGTGACAAGGAGGGGCAAAAAATCATGAAATTCGTGTGACGTAATTTATGGATGACCCCTAACCAAGTTACCATCAATAGCAGAAATTGGTATGTTTTCTAATAAATCTTAATCTTCTAAACATAGAAGGTGCTCACGGTAAAAAAACCGTTCCCGGTCCTTATGTCCCCTTCCCTCGGACCTCTGCGGAGTTCAGACGTTTTTGGTTAACTTAATTTGCGCTTTTTAATTTTTTAAATACAATATTAATCATAGAAAATAAAGTGACTAAAATAGGAGTGCATAAACGAAAGGAGCTCTGATTCTGTGCCCCCACCAGCTACGACAGTCTTCCGTTGCCGCCGCCCATCATCGGCAGTTGCTCCGCAATTTTAAGGCGTGGCGACGATTCAGCAGTACCCTCCAATCCTGCGTTTTGTGTCTCACTTTGCCGCACACTGGACTGGTGCGTATTGTGAGAGAGAGGTTCGTTGTTTGTTGCTTGCTGTGCTCCTAGTACCCCGAGTGGTGGCTGATATTGCTGTTTCGCCTGCGGTGATTTCGCCGGTTTCTGGTTGCCTGGTACTTTTTTTTTTGCAGTACGGAGCTGCGTTACTTGACTTGTCTTGTAAATAGTGCCATTAGGCTCTCCTGATTGCGGATATTCCTGGACTATTTAAAAACCGAACAAAAACAATGCCACTAAAGAGGACTCCTCCGCCCACTGCTGCTTCCCCGACTAGAAGTGAATCCGAACCTGATCTAGCCGGAAATCGTTCCTCTCAGGAGCAACATGCTACTGTTCACAGTAGGCAGAAGCGTGTGAGGGAGGAGGTGTCACTGATTGAATTCATGGACGATATCAGGAGTACTTTGAATAAGTTTAGAGAGGATCAGGATCGAAAGCTTGATATTCTGCAGAAATCCATTGCAGAAATGAAGCAGCGACAGGAAGAAAAGTTGGCTCGCTACAGGGTATAATAGCAGAAATCAGGGGGCAAAACGATAATATACAGTCCTCAATTGAGTTCTTATCTGAACAAAATATAGAACTCAAACAAAGAGTAAGTAGAATAGAAGCGGAGAATGGTGATAATATTGCTTACATTCGCACCTTGGAGGACAAAATTGAGGCACTAGAACAAAAATCTAGATTTTCATTAATTGAAATTAGAAACATTCCAATTTCTAAAGCGGAAACAAAAGCCGACCTTCTGAACATATTTACAAGTTTATCTTCGGTTTTGAATGCAGGTGCGTCGACTTCTGATATTCATGACATATATAGAATATCAACAAAAGACAAGAGTAATAAACCCATTGTATGCAAATTAAATAGCGTATTGATGAAAGAAAAGATTCTTACGTGCTATAAGAACTTTAATAAAACTCACAAAGAGAACAGGTTAAACACTGAGCACCTACACCTACGTTGTGAACTTCATAAACAAATAAATATATCTATCAGATAATCTTTCACCTAAGATGAAAAGATTAAACTTTCTTGCGCGTGATTTCGCAAGCTCCAATAGTTACTCCTTTTGCTGGGTGGCCCATGGGCATATTTATCTACGAAAAAAAGAAGGTGACAAAACTATCCGGATAAATGAAGAATCTGACCTTAATAAATTAAAAGAAACAGAATGACTATTTGTAATTGATGCTGATACAATTTTCTCTGCGTTATTTTTTGCATGTAAATTATGGCTATCTGTTGTGCTCATAAATCAAATGCTTCATAATTTAAATCATTCATACTATCATATTTACTTGTGTACTTTGCTTTTAACAAATAAGACACTGCAAATAGATATATCAGGTTCGCTTTTGCGGTGCCAAATGAGTCGCTCAATGTCCGTCATATTAGTACTACTAACCACTCAATGCTATACTTTTTTCATAGTCTATTCTGGCGAATGTGTGAACTTGTGGCTTCTATCCATACTCGTACCAACCTTCCACCAAAAACCAAAGATCGTAAATTTATTAATATTCATTTTTCAGATCCTACGCTGCTGCCTTCATATACTCCCTTTAATTTCATACTTTTATCATGCTTAATACAAATATCATAGATGACTTTGATCAGTTTCAAGTTTCTCGGTCGTATAATTGTTTGCCGGAAAACTGTAAATCGTTTCTAAATAATCCCAACAAATCTTTCAATGTTTTTCAGGTAAACATTAGAAGTGTAAACTGTAATTTTTCTAAATTACTCACTCTGTTGCAGCGAATTGATATTCCATTGGATATAATTGTTCTCACTGAATGTTGGTTAAGCAAATGCCCCTTGCTTCCACTATTACCTGGGTATGTTTCTATGAAGTCAGATTATTCCAATAAAAATGACGGTGTAGTCATATACAGGGTGAAATTGAATGTTTTAATGAAACTTCGTGGGAATGTTGGGTTACGTATATAGAGTAGCTCTGAATTTTTACGGATTTTTTAAAAAATGATTTCAAATAAAATTTTGTTTTTTTTTTTGTTATATTTTAAGTCCTTTCCTCCTTTTGGGTACTAAATAATTATTCTTTTAAAACATGCATACAGAGTAAGTAAAAAACAAGTAATAAGCACTACTAAAAAAGACGTAAAAACAGGAGACGGGCGGCCGGGAGCAATGACCGCTCCCGCCGTTGAATACCTTCCTGCCTACCTATCTAGGTATGCGCGGTGCACAGCGCAGTGAGCGAGCGGAGTCTCAAGCGATTTGCAAATAATGCCTTGATTAGTTCTTGTTCTGTGCCCTCAATATAAGAATTTGGATATGGTGTGTTGTTATTGCGAGTGTCACAGAATACTCAGCAGAGCCACAAGGCTTTACGAAAGTAGGTTTGGTGATTTATTGGGAAGTTATAGAGAAAAAAATTAATAGGTACACCGGTCTCGTAAGTACTTTTGAATACCTGGTAATAAATTTCATTCTGACCCAAGTATTGAACTGCAATAAGTATTTCTTTTTGTTTAACTTTTGCCTATTTCCAATCGTGACAAAATTATTATTAACTTTTTAAGTTTTTCTCTGCTTAAGAGAAGATGACATTTGTGCTTATTATTTCAATTTCAATAAAGGCATCTAAGACGATTTTATTGTATTGTGTGGAATCAAACGAGTCAGCTGAGCTCTGTGTACGTACCTACTCACTCAACGGCTGGCGGGCGCGGTCGGTCGTTGACCCGCGGTGGAATTTTACTGTTTTTCCGTTTTTTAGAAGTGCTTATTTATTAGTTGTTTTTCACTGGATATGTAAGCATGTTTGTTTAATATAAATA